CGCCTCCCTGACCTGATTGGTTGTGAGGCAAACGCTGCGCCCTCGTGTTGTGATGCACGCTCCACATCCTTGAATAACATTCACAAGCCCAAACAAAGTTAGTGTGCCTCAACATCGGACAGTAGAAACCAACCAGAAAGTACAGAAAATTGTCTGAATCCTCCTTTGGCCACGACTGTCAACTCAAGCAAGAAAACGAAGTAAATACCGGAGACTCTGGCAGAAAAACGGGCGCTTAAAACGGAGGTAGACCGGACAAGAGCTGAAAAGCTGGGTCAACATCAGCATAAATGTAGGGAGATGCTTCGGGATCTTACGGACCCTGTAACCTTTCTGCTGGACAGGTAAACCGCTTTAACAAAGTAAGACAAGTGTCTGTAACAGAAGTGTTTCTTGTCAAACGAGACCTCCTGCATGTTGTAGCGCCGCTAAACTGTTTACCTCGGGTCCTGGAGTATTTCACTTTATCCTAGTTGTAGAAGTCCTGCAAACATTGTGTTTGCTGATAGTCTGTTGGCATCTACAGTAGCACCAATGCTGTTTACTTTCATGTTGACTGGGCCCCATTCATAATTACCTTAAGTATTTATCTGCATTATATCTGAATTTAATTGAAACGATAGGAGCAAGCAGGAGCGTCTGTTTGTGGGCGGGGCTTGCTGGAGTAGAGAGGGAGGGGAGAGGCGGAGCTGGGGGGAAAATTGGTTGGGAGGGGTAGAGTTTACATTTAAGATTTCTGACAAAAACTGGCACTTCCTCAGATCCTGACTACCCCACCTTTAAACGTCAAAAATGGACATTTTTACTTTAACATAATTTCTCTGTCTTTAACAATTTTTGCTTTCCCTTTATCTCCTTTAACAGAAGAAGTTCATGTGCCTGCCCAGTGTGCGCTGACACGATGCAGTGCGTCTGCCACTGTAGCGATGCTGTGGAGAAGATGATGTAGCCCTTGGGCCACACACAGACGTCAGGCCGGGGTTGAGAACAGTAAATAGCAATGCTATTATTTAACAGACTGCAGAGTCAAACGCCACTGCAATGTGTGACCTTTACATTGCTGGTGGGCTAATACAGAAATCAAGAGCAAGCAAGAGAGTTGCACACACATACACACACACACACACACACACACACACACACACACACACACACACACACACACACACACACACACACACACACACACACACACACACACACACACACAGTCACAGTCACATTTAAAATCAAGCGTTCATGCATGGAGATGTAATGTTGTTATTACTGATGCAGAAGATACTCACACGCACACTTACTGTCTGTTTTTGTTGACCTATGTTAGTGCTACACACAAAAAAGGGTGTTTGTGTGTGAATGTAAATGTGTGCGTGTGCATGTGTGTGTGTTAAATCAAGCAATTCTGCAGTGAAAGTGACTGTCAGACTCAACTATTGCAGGGATGTGCTGATAGAGAGGTTTTAGAGGAGCAGACTACTGCCTAAGGCCTAGAGAAACTTGGAAAAAAACGAGTGTGGTGGTGGTGGTGGTGGTGAGGGGGAACAGTGAAAAGGAGGAGAAGCAACAGAGATAAAGAAAACAGGAATGCGGCAGAAAATAAACAAGGTTATAGAAATGGGGAGGCGGCAACTGAGCAAGGGATTTGAGTGAGGTGGGAACCAAGGTCAGGCCACTGATGCACAGAGAGAGAGAGGGAGAAAGGATGAGAGAGTGGAGAAAGGAGGGATGGATGGGGAAAGAGTGACGATGAAAGAGAGAAAAGGAGGAGAAGGAAAGGAGGGAAGTGGAGAGTGAGACCTTTGCATGATAATTTGTTCATTAGGAAAGACCTTGACCGAGAATTTTCTCTCTACATCCTGATCTCCTGACTCTGCTCTGCCGCTTTTCCTCCTTTTTTCTACTTCCCTGCCCCCTCCATCCATCCATCCACCCCTCCTCCCACGACCCACTCTGCTTAGTTTTCTCTTTTTCTACCTCCAAACGTCACCGTTCCCTCATTATAGAATCCCTAGTCAGCAAGTCGAAGACATGGAGGCATGGCGCTAGAGAGAGAGAGAGAGAGAGAGAAAGGGGGTAACTGTACAGGAAGAGAAAGAGGGAGGGAGACTATGACAGGGGGCCATCATATGACGTCTTTTTTTTTTCATTCTTCCGTTCACCTCTTTCTCCTCGCACACTGTGCATACATGTCAAATATCCTCCTTCTCGACTGGCGCTCCTGAGGGCCTCAGGCTTAAACGAGATAAATAAATCCCTTCAAAGAAAAACGAGAGACGGGGGAAGTGATTTTTTAACAGGCGTACACTTTGGCAAACAAATGTGAAATCAATAAGGAGTACCCTTCGACATGTACAGAGGACCCAGGCTGCTGCATACAAAAGAAGAGCACGGGGGGATTTCTAGGCTCATAAACTGGAAGAAAAATATGCTTTGAGTGAATAATTTACTTAAAGCACGAAACTGATGACAACGGAACTCTAAGAGGCAAAGCAGATGACTCAGGCTTCGTGGTTTATTTAAAAGTTTGTAAGAAAGAGGATGTCAGACACAGTTGTTACAGGGAAGGTTGGCCTGCAATGAATCTGTCCCGTATTTGAAGTTCAGACTGCACATGTTAAAAAAAGAATAACAGAGGCCAAGATTTAGTGGGTTAAGAATATCTAACTCTATCCAATCCTGGAGGCAGGGGACTGGAAATAAAGTCAAATCCTGCAAGTCTACCGCAGTTCAAAATCCACTTTCTCAAAAACAACGCCACACATGCTGTATATCATTTTAACTTGACTACATTATAATTTATGTCAGTAGTCATTACAAGCATAGCCAATAAATAAACACAGTGACAGCAGTCTCCAAACATTATTAGATATTTCATTTTAAATTATATCTGCCAGAACATACCCAATATTTCCCATTGCACATAATTAACTCAATAAAGAGCACTGCTTTGAATAATACGTCCCCTCCAAGACTCTCTGGTACACTGAAAAGGAACTACTTGTACCCTATCGCGAAACTGAAATCAGTAGACAATACTAATGTGCTTTAGAGTTAAGGAAAAGTTTTAAAACTTCCTGCCTCTTGTGGGAAATTGCAATTTGATTGAATGTTGCTGTGCTGACTTGGCTGTTTGCAGAGTTGCAATAGTTGGCACTATTGGGTAAGTGGTGGTGGAATATTTTTTCCATCGTTCAGCCCTGAATTGTTTTGCTGATATCAGAGCCAGAGTGAGAACAGAGGTGCAAAGATGGAAATGGAATGAGTAAAACAGAAAAGCCCTGTTGACCGGATTTTTATTTTCCCTATTGTGGTCCAAGTTGTTTCGCCCACTAGTGTCTCAACAGGTGTTGTCTGTGTCCATGTGAAGAGTAGAAGAGGTGGAATACCTTGGCTGTAATTCAACCCCAGGATCTACTGGCAGTCATCTGATAATACCTTTCATCTCTAATCTCTCAAACAGATCGGTTCATGCAGGTTAAGCCTACAACCTGCTTTTGGTTGGCACTCCGTTCCTGCTTCAAAAGTTGCAAGCAGTGCTTTGCTGGTCTGCTCAGGTAACCAGAACCACCCAGTTCTAAACCCTGGACCCCTTGGCATGTACTGGATGGATTTTTTGCAGACTGGATGCCAAAGCCCATATTCCATGTGCAATCAATATGAGCACCTGTTATAAATCATTACCATGGCCCACCACCAGAGGCACACGCACTTTTGCTGGGGTTACATTATGCTTGCTTGTCTGTTTTCCCAACCAAGTAACGTGACATGGACAGGAAGTGGATGGTGGTGGTGGATAAACGAGAATAATTACTGAATATAAATGTTGTGATGCAGAGATGCAGAAGTTCTTTGTCTGTGTGACATATGATAAATGTACAATGTTAGGGATATTCTGACGTAAAATTAATTTAGGGTCAAACACACCCAAACACCGAGTTAGACACCCCCAGCGGTCTCAGGAACCACACACAAACCTCAACCAAAACGCCAACTGCTGGCATCCAGTCTGCGTTGGCAACATTCATCTCTTGAGGTGGTGTCTAACTCGGTGTTACGGTGTGTTTGACCCTAAATTCACTTTACTCGGGAATATCCCTTTAACCTAAGCACCGTTTTATAATGAAACACCGATTGTTGCCTGACGATACACACATCAGTAAGTAAATAGGTTGATTATCAGCCTTTTTTTTCACTCCTGAAAGAACTGGTTGCAAATTGAACTGTTGACCAAAGCAACCCATGGTTGGTTGGTTGGTTGGTTGGTTGGGAGTCCTTAAACCCTGATTGCTGGCGTCACTATAGGTTTGCTGTTACTCCTATAATACAGGCTGTGGCTTAAAGACATTGGTCCTGGGTTCTGAGATTTCCAGTGAAGTATCAGTTTGATGCTGAATCAAAAGTCACTATTTGTCATTGGGAAAGCAGGTCGTCTTGACTGTTAATCAGAACGACATGTCTCAAAGGACTAAATTTGGCTCTGGGGAATCTCTGGCACTACAATTCCCTGTTCAGTTTTTATATTGAATTTATTGAGGTGTTCCTCAGTCTTAATTCACCATTATGTCTTGTGTATGTTTCTTTACTGCTATTGAGTACTCCAGCATTGTTCACCTGTGTCCTAACACCTAACGTGTATTTATCTTAGTGGCAGTATGTCTTCAATCCTTGCTAATTATGTAGAAGTGCGGTTTTTGCTTTGGACTCTTTCTTGCTTGCACTCGGTGGCCTTTGTAACAACCCCAGGCCTTAAATTTTACTTTTTTGAGTTGACAAAAAGCTAACTTTAAGTCTGCTTTTCAGTCCATTTTTTCTGGGTTCTTTACCGATCTTAGTCGGATGAAGTCTGGCCTCTTGTGAGAGCAAGACTAGAGCATTGTCCTAGTGATTGATAACACAAAAGATATTGCCAAAAATAAAAATATTGGCAATTCTTCTTAGCCTTTGACAGATTCTTGATTTCAGTGCTTAGTGGAGGAAAAAAAATCTGGTCGCTGAGGGCAAGGAGGCCAAAGTAAGCATGACTTTTAAGTAGAAGTCACATAAGTGAGTCGTTACCTATAAATGAGCCAAGCTTTTACTTATAGTACAGAAACATCACTGCATAAGGCAAGAGTTGTCTGGAGGAAATTACCTCCTTCTCCTTTCAGTGTCAGAAACAGATGCAAAGTGCGACACAAATACTTCCGGTTGGATTGAAGCAAAATGGGACTTGGCTGCAAGTGTTTGCACTTCCCCTGTCACCCTGACTTAAAATCCAACACCAAAATGAGGCAGCAGGTAACAAGTGTAATCGTCCATTCAGAGGCGTATCAAATAAATATTACATGTGTCTGAATGCTGTAAAAGATGCAGGGTGGATTAGGGAACAACAGCTGGCAGCCTTGGGGGAAGACTCTGAGAAAAGGCAGAGCAGCTTTTCACTTTTAAGAGCTTAAAAAAAGGGCCTAAGTAGTGCAGTCCTCAGGCAAAGAAGAGTCGGGTTGACTACTGGAGTCTGAAAACAAGCCAGAGAATCTCTGTGCATCCATCATATGCAATCACAGCAAAAGAGATAGGAAAACTGGATTTCTTCTAAGTTTTACTTACAGGTAACATGAAAGTGATTTATGAATCAGCATGGCATAATTGTAATAAAAGCACATATAGAATCCACAAGTATTTAGTATAATATTAGAAATCCAATACCAATGGTAGATAAGAAACATGATGTTTTCTCATGAAAGATGCACTGGAATCAATAATGCAGTCCAGTCACCTCAAAATACCCCATGCCAGAATAATGGTCGATCACACCAAGTGCAAGTAAAATCATCTATTCGCTTAATTCGCAAATCTAGATGCGTGAATGAATAGCATTTACTCTCTTCATTTGCGCATCATTACAGTTTATGCTAATTTCAACGGTAATCCCTGCCAATTCAACCAGCAGGATCAAGTGATAGACAAAGGTTTTTTACAATTTACCAGGTAATCTGACCTCCTCACTCAATTGCCTCCAGGCAAGCTCCTTTTTATTCATGTTTTGGTAATTGAAAGTAAAGGTATCATATAAGTTGGGGCACCCACACACTGACACGATCAGTTCGTCCTCCAATTTAGATACCATTGTGAACAACCGTCCGTTTTCATACCTCAACCTGCAAACTTCGTTCTGATCGGTTATCGCGACGCAAATATCCACTCAAGTTGAGACATTTTCAGCTCCCGCCCGATTCACATCATTCACGCCTCCAGAGTAGTACAAGCATCCAATTGCATCTTTGCATTTTCTTAACATGTAATTCATTTGCGCGAATGATTTTCCTCGCGCTTGGTTTGTGGAGACAGTAATAGCATCAACATAGAAAAGAGGCTGATGGCATGCAACGCCTTATGCCAGTGGAACAGCTGATGCCACTGTGGCATGCACCTATACCTTTAATAGCATGATGCTGGTTAGCTTTTATAAGATCATATTATTAACATCTCAGCAAACATAACAATTATCCAATAAGGTCATTCAAATGACTGGTTTAAATGAATAATCTGTCCCCAAGGTTGTGTTTCTTCTAAAAGTGAGCGCACTTGGGCTTCGCTTGAGGCTGACAACTTTTGGAAGCAATGACATTTTTAAAAAGATTATTCAACCTTAAATCCTTTGTTTGAGACGCTGTATAGATTAGCAAAATCAGGGACAGGTAAACCAAGGCAAGTTGATTCAAGTATTCAGTGTGTTTCTGAACAATCCTGAGAACTTTGATTTTGGCCTTGGCTTTTAAAACAGGGTTTTATTCTTTAAATCTCCTAAGTGCCTAGATATTATGATAGTTTAATTTATTTTCTCCAAATATTGGACTGAAATGGAAAAACCTTTCTTCACAAATGGACAAATCAGAGGCTGTCCATTAACTACCATAGTCATATACATATAAAAGACTGCTGTTGAGAGATGATTGTTGAGTATCCAAATTTGCTCTTAACGCAGGTGCTTTCTAGGTTTTTCCTCTATTAGTGTGTATAGCAATAAACAGTGACTGCTGTTTTTACTTGGCATTGACAGCATACAGCCCACTCAAAGGCTATTAGTGCAACAGGGTTTGTTTTTTCTCCTGCTCCCAGGTGAGACTATTTGTTTTCCACCTCTGTCTTTTCCTGCAACCACACCTACGCCCTTTGCCGAGATAAATAACATGACCTTGGTTAACTTGTTTCATTTAATGTACTTAGTGGAAAAAGGAGTTGTGACAAGGGAATCGCTGTTTCAGTTTGTCCTGGATCTACAGCAAAAGACCACGCTGTAAAAAAGGGAGGTTTTGTCACGAGTAGCTAGAAGCAGGTGAAAAGAACTTTACTTGCTTGGCTACATTTAACTTCTCATGGGAAATTCCATTTTCAGACTGCAATGCTGAAGCCCACCACGCTGGCACTGAGGTGTAGGTCTTCAAGTATGGATCAATATAGCTTATAATAGATCTGTTTGGGTATGTTTCACACTGCAGCCTGTGCTCGTCTTCATTCCACACCCTCCGCTCGAATAGCTTAACACAGGCTTGGGTGTTGTTTATCGAGAGAAAACAATACTTGTCTAACTCACCGGAGCAACTGCCTTCCAGGAGTTAATGATTTTACCATTTCAGGATGTATTTCACTAAACTGTAAGCCTGCAGCAGAGGGTGATGTTATGTCTTTCAGCTGGTGTTACTCAGGTTATTGTCAGGAATGGTGGCCTAATTTCAAAAGGCAAAGAATCCCTCAAACAAACTCATTTTTTAAACACCCTGTTGAAAAATGAGTTCAGCACTGCTTTATTGACTGCTGGTGATGCCAAGTAAGGAATTGATTCCAGGCTGCATGTGGAAAGAGGTTGCAGGGTGTGGAAGCTCTGCCCACACAAACTTTTGAATCTTTATCACAGCACAATCGATAGCACTCTGCCAAAGCAGTGCAGTCTCAAAGCAGCTCTATAGAGACCCTGAACAGGTATTTTCCAACTGGTTTACTTTCGGTTTGGTCGGCCTGAATTGTAATCCGAGTGTATTCCCATGAACCCAGTGATCTATTTTCAATCTACAAAGAGATAAAGCTTTAAAACATTCTATTTCTGAGCCAAAATCTGTGTCTGTGGTTTAAATTAATACATTTCTCTAACAAATGATTGTCAACTGACAAAAATAACAATCCAAAAGACTTCAGAGTTATTGTAGTGTCAGCATTGATTGAGTTTCACAGCTCCAACCCCCCTTGAAGATATTTATTTATGCTTTTGCAATGCTCAGCAATGAATATTATTGGAAGTGTCTTGTAAAGAAAAGCGGCATGGTTTCTGCTGAAGTATATAGAGTTGAGCAGTATGAGTTTGTAGCTCCGTCTTCACTTTGAAGCATGTCTTAATTTACCCAGAACTGATGCCAAATCAGCCCTAATTGAGATAGGAACAGCTCTAGAGATGAACACAGTTATCTAAATATTTGCGAGTTCTGAGCCTTTTTTTTTTTTTTAGCATTAAATGTTTAATTGATCTCGATCTGGACCCAGATGAAATGAACTGAATAAAATTATGATAAGTCTGTGTGGTTTTGCAAAGCAGGGACTGGGAAACACTACATGGTGCTAACCCAAACTAAGATGCCTGGAGGCCAAAATAAGGGACACGGATGACAATGATGCAAAGAAGAGAAGCGTAAAAGATGAATGTAAGATCAAAACACATTGAATGCATGCATTATGGCATGTGCCCCAAGGGAGCTGTAGAAAACCTTATATACTCATGTAATCGTGTGCCACACCACAAAGACAGCACAAACAGCACACTCTACACACACACACAACAGAAAGCAGCATCTCATGAGCTATAATTGGCTGAGCGCATTGACCTTGTTCAGTGATTCTGAGTGTGTGTGCATGCATTTAAGTGCTTATACAGGTTTCTGGGCAAGCTCAGACTGCAGCATGTAGGTCTCAGAATTTCTCATTTAAGCTGCATAAGCATCTTTTTTTCCCCCATCCATATTAAAATAATATGTGATGATGGATGGACCTTTAATAGATGAAGCCTCCGGGCTCTTACATCTTGCACGCGTGTCTGTGTGTGGGTCTGGGTTAGCATGTCGGAGAGCTTGAGTGTGTGTGTGTGTGTGTGTGTGTGTGTGGACAGGCAGAGAGAGGGAGTTCAGGGAGAGGTGGGCCAAGAGATAGGGGTCAAAGTGAAAGTGGGGCTCCTGTCATTTTGGTGGCATAATCGATGATGGAGGATGGGAGGATGCAGAGAGAAGGACGAAACAGATCCTCAATAACACGCTCTTGTTCTTTCTGCACCTGATACACACAGTAGACAGCTGTTCATATACTGACGCAGTGCACACGCTAAAACAAAGGTATTTGCAGAATACTACTAATATACACAGCATGCTAAAGTACCTACACTCACATACACATTCGAGTTCCCAAAACACACATGCCTTTGGATGTAGAGTGCTGAGAGGAGAATTGCCGGCGGCGAGAGTTGTCCTATCTAATAACAGACGAAAAAATGGAGAGAGCAGAAGAGAGGCGCGAAAAGAAGGAAAGGGGGTGGGGGGTTGGGGGGCAAAGTGCTGAATATGTATTTCGAACCGAATTTGGCCGGTCAGGCAAGCAGGCATGACGGCACAACATGCATGGACAACTGTGCTAACACATTCCAGTGCACAAACACACATAGAGGCGTGCTCGTGCATCCAAAAGAAACAAAAATGTACACACATCCAAACCAAGACTTTGTGCAGACACACACACATACATTGAAAAAGAGAGAAAGAGAATTGACGTCTGGCTGTCAGCTTTCTTTGTTCTGTGCTCTGGGTGTTACAAAGACAGAAATATCAGCTGTTATATTTTCTTTTCGCAGCCAGGAAAACACTCAAACATCCAGAACATAAACCCCAAATATCTCTGGGTCCTTTTGATAAATAATAACTAACTGATGGTCGAAAACTTCCACAACAAGCCGTCGTTTAAGGTGTTTACAAAAAAACATGAAAATGGAAAACATGCTGCAAACATTCTTCTTATTGCGAAAACAAGTCACATCGAACTGCTTTGCTAGATGAGTAACATGCATGGAGGCTATTTTTGAGTACAGAAGATCCTGATGAATATTCTAACAACCACAACAAGGAACACAACGGATTGTTTGGCTCTGTGTTCTGTGTCAACACAGTTTCCAGTCTGTGTTATCCTGCATCTATTTCTCATCTGGCATCCAAGCAGCTAATTAGTAAGTAATGGTGCTGATTCCTCTTGATTATTATGTGTAGAGCTCTGTCTAACATCAAATCTGTACCGCTTCCCATTTGGAAATATCTTTCACATTAGTCAGACCCAGTGAACCTCTGAATTTAGGACAATGGCTCATTTTGTTCATACTTTGATGAAACCAGTGAATCAATATATTCTCTGGCTCACCACTGCAACGTGTCCTCATTCTAAGGTCAATTGGTAGAAATAATTCACCATTTTTACTTCTGAGTCGCAGACATAATGAAATATTAATGAGAACAATAAAACCGGCTTAGATATGGCCAGAATTATTCCACAGAAACTCCTAAACAAAGCAACTTCTTAAGAACCACATTGTAAGCAAGACCGTCTCGTTGATTTGATAAACTATTTGCATCTGAAATTTATAAGGCAGCAGCAACTTAGAACTTATTTAACTAAAAGTTTGAAAAGTTTAAAACCGGTCATAAGTTATGAAGTAAACTGTACCAGACATATCTGAAAAAGAAGCCTTACGACATAAGAAAAAGTAACATCTAACCAATTCACCACTGTTCTTATTTTCATTTACATATAGACAATGACTCAAATGCTTTTTTAAATTCAAAGCCAAAACAACAGTCAGTATAAAGGATCCAGTAGTTTTCTTAAAGGAATAGACAAGCTAGTTTTTTTATATGCAAGAGTGCAGCGTTCAAAAGGGGCTCGGTGAAGTTCAACATAGGTTAAAGTAAGGCTGGGCGATATGGCCTCAAATCAATATTACGATATGTTGAGCAGTTCACCTCGATAACGTTAAATGGGCGATAACTACTCCACAAGATGCTTAACCCCTCCCACATTAACTTGGTCTACTTTAGCCGCCGCTCCAACCGCAACAACTTTTGAACCGTCCTCCATCTCTTCATCTGTCTTTGCCTCTTTGTTACGGACTGGATAGGGTGGAGTCATGTCTCCGTCGTAGTCCAGCGTCTTAAAGGGACATGAGACCATAGCCTACCTACACACATCCAAAACCAACTTTTATTCATTTGTTTTTTTGACACCGAATATATTGACATGGGGAAAATAATGTCGTAAATTTCGGTATCGGGAAAATTTTCGGTTTATCGCCCAGCCCTAATCTAACCTATTCACCACTGTTTTTACTTTCATTTACATGTAGACTATAACTCCAATGCTTTGTTAAATTAATAGCCAGTTAACCAGTCAGTATAAAGGGTCCAATTGTTTTCTTGCAGGAAAAGTCAGGCCAGTTTTTACAGGCAAGAGTGCTAAGTTCACAAGGGTCTGGGTACAGTTCAACATAGGTTAAAGGTCGAGTAAATGCACACTAGTTACACCATAGGTCTCAGTGCTGAAGTAAAACTTGAAAGAAACTGCATAAAACAATGATGACTCAGCACACCAATGAAATATTGTTATTGACAGGATGGTGCAGAGCCACACCACAAATCTGCACCTTTAGACAGATGAAGACAGTTCTGTAAAAAGTTAGTCACACAAAGACAAAGAAAATACAAATACAGCCTTAACTCTTTTTATCCTCACATGTATTTGCTTTTGGATGCATTTTTAGAACAGAATATGAACAACTAAGTGGGTAAAAAAAATCTGAAGCTGAGAATTAATGAGCCTTGGTTTTCCCCATGTCGTCAGCATAACAGTAGCATGCCGAGTTTTAAGGGTGCAACCTGATGCGTGCAAGGGTGTATGTGGTTACTTCAGAGCAGCAAGGTGTCATTTGCATGTAATATGATGAAAGTAAACAGTTTAATGGTGGTGTGCTCTGGTGCTGCACTTCCTCAAATTAAAGAGTGCAGGTTATCAACTTGACTGTCCTGCTGCCTTTATTTAATGTACTGAAGCAGAGTCTTTTGTACTACTTCAATCAGGAAACAAACACTATCAGACTCTCATATGAATATACTGAGACGTGCCACTGTCCCTGCTATCACAATATTAAAACAGTGTTGTGTTGTACAAACATGAGGGATAGCTCCTGTTATTTGAAGGAAATTCAAGTCATTTTGGTATAACGCTGCGTTCCAGTTGTACTCGGAAGTCGGAATTTCCAAGCTCCGAGTCGGAAATTCATCTGGAACGCACCCCTGATGTCAGATTTCTGACTCAGAAAGTCGGCCCGACAACCCCAACTTGACGAAGTATACGAATGTATTATTTATTAGCACTTCTGTTTTGTTTTTGTGAAATTAAATAAGTGGTATATGTTATACTGTCCAACGTCGAACTGTGAACATGTTGCTATGGTGTTTGTAAGAGTAAAACGTGCCGTTTACAACTGGTATAGCTAACAACAACTAACAAGAGCTGACAACAGCTAACGGAAGCTGACAATTGTAAACAACAGCTAACAACGGCTAACTAACGGCGTCCATCTTGGTGTTCTGACTTGTTAATCTGAATGCTGTCAACTCAGGTGTAACGTCATTCCCAGCTCTGACTTCCAAGGTAACTGGAATGCAGCATAAAATACCACAGTAATCAGCCATTAACAGGCAAACTTATGGTAGTTACCATCATGTGCTCCCTTAAAGGTGAAGAGTTAACAGAAGAAAATAATGTAATTGGGAAAAGTCAGGATACAAAAGCTAACAGACTACCTAAAGCTAAAAAACTAATAGACTAATAGACTTAAACTTCTTTGATATTTTTTTCGTTTTACTGAGAAACCAAGAAGAAGTTCAAGATGCTGGTGGCGGCTAACACTGACTGCTGGTTGTAGGTATGAGTGTGTCAACACCTTGGACTGAATATGTTAACCCAGGTTGATAAAGATAGAAATGTGGGTTTCAACAAGCTGTATTGTTAACATTTACAGTATTTTGCTGTGAACAGGAGGTGAGCTACTTGTGTGCTGTGTGCAGTGTAACGCAAGCTAACCGATATAGCTCGAAGCTTCTTGGAAACAGGACTTGTTCATCATGGTCTGTCTGGTTTTAAAATGAGCAGCTACAAACTAACTGAGCTCATAATTGTCCAAATTTAAAACCCCAAAACCAACATTTTTTCATGAATCTGATCAAAGTACTTGGACACTATGTAGCTGACTTTAAATGGCTTTACGGTTTTATTTCTAATAAATGAAATCGAGTTGAAGATGTTGATGTCAATGGTTTGTGAGAGACCCATGATTGTGCTACCTTAAGGAGACTAGGTTATGACCCATGTCCCACCTTCGATGACCCAGCTGCAGTTGGGACAGAAAAGTTTCTCTAAAGTTTCCCCTGAGTGTCCAGAATATTCTGCACATCACTGATTGGTCAAATGGCCTTTTGAAGATATGTCTTTGTTTCCCTCCCGGTGTGTAAGATGTTTACTTATTCACATGAGGTGAGGCGCAGAGGTTGTACTTAAAAATGAGTGACGTCAGCTCGCGCCCTCTGTATGGAGCAGATTACAGCCGCCCCACTGAGGCTTCACTTTTGATCCCAGCTCCAAACTAGTGCCACCAGCTCCTCAGTACTGAGAACTAGTTTGACAGAGAGAGCTGTGTGTTAGTACATAACAGCAGGAGGCTGTGGTTGAGAGATTTTTGATTTGTGTGGAGGTATTTCACTGCTGGAGGCTGTAATCTTGACACTTGCACATATTTGTGCATAGGAACCTTGCAAATAGAAGACTTTGTGGAAAAAAAAAAAAAAAACAGTCTTTAGATTTCGGAGGGGAATGTTTTTGGTGGAGAAAATAGTCTGTTTTATTTCTTTAACTTCTTTTGTTCTTTTGGCTTTTGAACTAACATGAATATGCAGTTCGGTCTACTTTGTGCTGATTAGGAAAGTTAAGGCTTGTTTCATGCGTATTTGACTTTGATGTTGCTGAGGCTCAATCATTCAATTAAACTTGAAAATACCTCCAACACCTCAGCTTGTGCTTGGGGAGCACGAACAAGAAATCTGAAGCTCCTAAATTGGTGCAATTCAGGTTAAGGTTGACCTGTCCCTTTCCATCTTGGCTTCCAAATCTTAGACATATAACACGTCGGGGATTTAGGAAAAACAACAGTTTCATCAAAAATCTATCAGCCATTCTTCTACTTGTTTTTCAGCTTTAGGTTTTGGTCTCATCTGTGTTGCTCTTTCCGTGACCTCAAGAGTAAGAGCTGTTTGTGCTGCAATATAAGTCTGAGAGGATTCAGAGCCATCCAAATAACCATGATTATCCAAAGTTTATTCCAAAATGCAAATGGATTTAGTTCAAGTTCTTCAGGCTGAGAATTCTTCAGTTTGATCATATTAGATGCAAAACGTCTTTAAGAGCTTTAACCAAGTGCAGTTTCTTTTTAGATTTAACCTTGAACCACTAAAAAATAGACTCAAAGGTAATCATATAAGTTTGACTAAACGTATTTGTTGTTAGAATTGTTCAGTAAATGTCTGATCAATTGCTTGTATATCATTTTCTTTTGTAGTTATGATTTCTGTTTGTACAGAAGAAAGACTTTCTCAGTCGAATTCAGAGAACTTGTAGGGTTTGGATTTGGAGCGCCTTGTTTGCACAATAAATGCAACACCCCATAATTCACAAGCTGCTGTGTTTTCTTTTTAAAGCTTTGTTTTTTGGGTTACCAACAGTGCACACTCAGTTGTAATACCTAAGCATACTATAACCAACAGCAAGAGCTGATGGTTGTTCACATGGACTGTGACCAGAGGTAATTTGGCTTAACTTTTTACAGATACAGGTATAGAAATGTGAAATCTGATCCATCACCAGCCAGGTTCCTACCTGAAAAGCAGAAATGGGATGGTGCTCAAGAAGATGATTACAGGATAGACTTGGAATTTTTACAATACAAGATGCCGTTTTGGCCATATTGTGGATTACAGACTGTGCACAAACACACCGTGGTAAATCCGATGTTAAATGTTCAAAAGGTATATTGGACCAGTTCCCCAGAGTCATTCATCAATTTTCACAGCTCATCTTCTGGCAACGCCGCATTACATTCAACGCTTAATGTCTGCAGGAGCACTTACACTGTTTGTGTTCAAATTCCTCAGGAAAATAAGTACGTGGCTGTTTTCAGTAAATGTGTGTGCCTGTATGTGTGTACATGCAGTGATGGTGAGGGCTAAATGTGTCTGCTTCTATGTGACTGGGGCATGCAAAAGCTAAAGATGAGAAGCAGAGGTGATGCATGTTTTCCTTTTGGCTGCAGATCTCTTGCTTTAGGGGAATTCCCTCGGCGGTACCCTGCAACGAAGCCCTGAGGCCACATCACACGAGCACAGACACACACAAGCAGCAAAAACAACTAAGGTGTACAACTACATCAGAGTGCATAACTCTAAACATGCAAACCAACAACCAGACATATGAGCACAGTTTTTTTTCCCCTACAGTATCACATTCTGTTTGATGTCTGTGCTGCTCGGACGGTATAAAATAAAACACTATATGAATGAATTTTTTAAAAGGAGGACGATTTTGTGCTGTAGCGACAACATTAAAAGAAGTAAAAACTTGGAACATGTGGTAGACTTGTTAAAGCTGGAAATTTTGACTTGTCACTGCTGTACTGCAGATTTTTGTAAGTCGCAGCACCACTATACCATGAGTTTAAGGGGGACTCAAAACTGTCTGCCCATGTGACAGTTTCCATTGCAACCAGCTCAGTCCACAATGTGCAGGTTCTGGGTGGATGGGCAGCTTTTTCCTGTCCCACATCATAACAATATGGAGTTTGCAGCAGCGTAGCTTACAGCAGTGGTTTTCAACTGGTGGGTCCCGACCCAAAAGTGGGTCGTGGAAATGTTCTAGATGAGTACATTCTGGATGAGCAGCTGGTCAAAAAAGTAAATATTTAATATGCATCTGATGTTTGACATGTCTTTTATTTTGAAAAATGGCTTATTTTGAAAGGCAAGTGTTGTCGTGATCCTCCTCCATTTCATATTAATGTAGCCCAAATGCAGTAAAATTAATGGGGGTTTTTTTTGGTCTTTGTTTTGTGCACTTTTATATATGGTATTTTCTGTGCTAGTATGATAGTTCATGTGCTCTGAAATGCACTTTACTCAATAAAATGGGTGTATTTATGTTAAAGATTAGAGTCTTTAAAGGTTTGGGGTTTTTTTTTATAAAAAAAATTAATTTGCTTGGTCTGGATTCTATACAAGTGGGTCACGACATAAGGACCAAGGGAAAGTGTGAGTCCCAGAGTAAGACCAGTTGAGAACCTCCGCCTTACAGTAGGGATGGGAGAAAACTTCGTGTCACGGAAGTATCGCAATGTTTTGTTTTACAATTTTTAAATCCATTTTTTCAAAAATCGATTTTTTTTTCCAAATATTAGAATAAATCTTAAAAACTGACTTGAATGTGATGTGTATTTTTCGGGGAAATATGGTTCCTGGAATAGTCAGTAGACAGTCATAATCATTCAACTGTTTCACTGGTGTGAAAAATGACAATATCGCAATTTAAATCGAATCAGCATCCAAAAAATTGTAGAAGAATCGAATCAGGAGAAAAGCATATTGTCCCAGCTTACAGTACTGTAGTTAGCCTACAGCAGCATTGATAACTACAAGGTATGAACCCACTACCCATAATTCATTTGCCTCAAACTCTAACGCCCACTTACCTCTGCTGCTTACTTGTTGTCATCAACTGAAGTGTGTTTTCCATCAAACAGCACCCAACTGGGTTCATTTCCTTGAGACCACCTTTTTTCTGTAAGTGCATGAAAAACAGGAGACATGGTGTTAAAAAAGTGGTCCACAACTCCATGTTTCCCAGCGTTCTTTGTGAAGTGAAGTAAACACTGAAGTAAACACTTGAAACGAGGCAAATTTTCAGTCCTGTCAGGTCACATGCAGTGGGTGATGGAGGCACTGTGTGCAATGAAAAAAAAAACACCTCTTTCTGAGGTGTAAACAGGTCACACCGACACATAGTGCACAGCAGACTTTACAGATTTAAAATGGAGGTGTGCACGGTGCCCAACACAAAATATTACAGCACTTTCCACTGGTGGATCAAAGGGACATATCCTTGTCTTTGAATTTGAACTATAGAAGGAGCCTGTCAATAGTATTTATATTGCTCAGAGGGGATGCTGCCAGCTTGTCCACTTTGCTGAGAAAGCAGCCAGAAACTAAAATAGAAGCTATGCTATCAACTGCTGCAGACGGGGGTCAATGTGATGCCACATAGTTTAGCTAATTTAAGGAAACGTCTACCCGAGCTCCATCCTTGGCATTAGGGTGTGCTCTATTTGGATATTTTTCCATTTTAAGTTTTCCATCAGAAGATCTAATTTTTGCACTATTTTTAGACTAGATACAAATATGTTCTTCTGCCTGCAGTGCACAGAGAATAGTTCGATAAAGTTCTGTTAAAGTGGGCCATTCGAGGTCAGGGCCATTTGCAGCAGCCTTAGTTGATAACGCTTTTTTATGTCCAGCCAAAATGTTGGATTCAAACAATGAAGAAGAGCAGAATCTGATTTAGTCAGAGTTTATTGCATTGCACACTGGCATGCAAATACTGGATAAGTAACCTTTAAAAGACAAATTTCAGTGTAAGCAGGAAGAAACCACAGGGAGGGCTGGAGAGCTAGTCCGGTAATTTGCTGCCTCATCTTTTATTCTGTTGAATAGACTCCAAAAACAAGATGCATCATGTTTTTAACTCGACTTCAGATGTCCTGCTACCCCCTCTGCATTCAGGTTTTGTTAACACGATCAGGATACTGGTTTGATACTCCCAGTTTGAAACTGGTCATCATGAAACTAAAATTAGAGGGCAAATGCTAAATGAGCAGAACTTTTTCAATCAACAGAAAAGTGATTTTGATTTCCTTGAGGGAACCTTCCCAAAAAGATCAATAAAGTTGTGCCCAATCACATCCAAGATAGGCTGGTAGTGGTAGTGATGTCAATCTCCTCATTTGTCTGGACATTTCTCCATCATAATAAACTTTTTAAAATCTTTCTATGACCATCACTGTGAACTTTTAAACATTATCTTTGTACTATGTCAAGGCTGAAAACACACGGCTTTGACTGCACGCCACATACCTGGTTATAGGGCTGGGCGATACAGGAAAAAGTTTATCATGATATATCTTTTTCATATCAATCGATATTGATATATATCACGATATTAAAAATCACCTGTCAATCTTCCCTGTTACTCCTAAATAAAATTTAGAAGTGCTTATTGATAGCATGTCTTTTGCAATACAATAATCTACTGCATCTGTGAGGTCTTTGTGTCTCTTTGACGCTTTGTCGTAAGGTGTTGCTCTAGAGAAAGTGGACTGAATGGTCGGCTGTTTCGCTGCACAGGCGCCATGGGCTCCTTGCTCCGCTGAGGGTTTGTAACCTTTCGCGTTGCGCGTGCTCTGCCACATGGCACTGCTTCAGGTGGTGAAAAAGATTTGAGGTATTCCCCTACTTTGCGAGTACATGAACTCGACAAAATTCGCAGTGCACATTACTCTGCATTATGTCCAACCTCAAAAAACCAAAATACCTCCACACCACCAACGTTTTCATGCTAGTGTTGTCAACAATGTCATCATCTATTGAGCCTTTATCTGCATTTCTGCCAGGGTAGCACTCATTTTCTTTTTTTCTCACAGACAGTGCTGTCAGCTTCACGTGTTTAAGTGCTATGGTTGCGTGTAGCTGCAGCCTGCTACTACGCAGTTGTTTGCTACTTGGTTCTAATTCAGCACGATTGGTTCAGCTCAAAGCGGACCCACAGCAACTCCTATTTTCTTTGGCTATTTGTATAGTCTACCAAAACATGGCAGAATGCCGACTATCGAAAAGCATATTGACCATGTTTTATATTGATATTGAGGGAAATTAATTTTTGATATATACTGTTTTCGTTTTATCGCCCAGCCCTACCTGGTTACACTAATTTTGTGAACATAAACATTGTTAGAAGTCTGAGTTGCTTTTCTAAACTTCTGGTAAATGTTCAGAAACACAAAGGTGTCAGCCATCGAAATGTAACTGGCTGGGGGACAGATTGCCTGTGGGACTGACTCGCCTGCTTAACAGCGAGGGGTTGACAGTGATGCAGTCCACAAATGGAAATAAGGAAGAGAAAAAGAAGCAAAATAAGACAGAACGAGCTGATTGATTATCCTGAAGATTGGAATGAATGGCTAGGAGGAGTAGAGGTGGACACCCCTCTGTGTGTGTGTGCTGAGGAGAGGAGGGGCCACTGGGTAGATAAATGACATGATATGTGACACTTTCAAATTTACAATTCTGACCCCTAACTCCCACTGCTCGTCTCCTCTTTGCAGAGTGACACACACAGGCGCACACACGCGACACGCATGCATTGTAAATCAGGTTTGATCTGTCAGGGAAGCGTGTCTTTGCTGTCAGTCGCCTGCGTTTGAGTGTCAGATGAGTGTTTTGAGTGTCAGGGGATGAGCCATTGTAAGTGTGTGTGTGTGTGTGTGTGTGTTGCAGTGTTAAGTGTATGAGTTTGACTCCAATTGTTCTGTCACTACCAAGGCTTTCTCGTTTTTTAACAGCCTCATTGTCTCCTGTGTGGCGTACAGAGGTGGTGCTCTTTGTGTCCATGTCTTCCCAATTAGCAGCTGGTTTTCACATCTAAATTTGAATATCCTGGGAAGTATGTCTGTTTTTTTTCAGGAAGGAGAAACTCAACCCAAAAACGTCTGAACTATTGGTTGCAGTTCTGGGCCTCATTAGAAATACCTGTCCTTGAATATCTTTTATTTAAAAGTGTCAAGTGAAAATAAAATATCCTTTTCTAGTAATGCTTTTCACACACACGTAGCAGAGCTGAATGATGGTCTGATTCTTTAAAAGTCTGGTAAATTGGAGACTTAAGCGTGAGAGGAAGAATAAATCCAGATGACTTGTTGGTTGGTTTTGCTGTTTGCTCCAACAAATAAGGAGCTGAATTTACTACAAGAAAACCATCATTAACTCAGAATGAAACAGCTTTAAATCCAAATAAACATTACCATATTTTTCGGGCAATAAGGCGCACCTGATTATAAGGCACACTGTGAATCAACGTATCTATGTTCATAAATAAGGCGCATTAAGCATTGATTGGTTTATTGTTGCTAGTGCATACTCTGGACCCGGGTTGCCTTACATGAATGTACTTCTAATTTAGACATTATGCTACGTTCCAGTTGTACTTGGAAATTGGGATTTCCGAGCTCCAAATGGGAAAATCATCTAGACCGTCCCCCTGAAGTCGGATTTCTGACTCGGAAATTCAGAAGACCCATGCCAACCCTGACTTGACGACAGAGCCTTAATTCAAGATGGCAGCGCAGTGTATCAACAGTAAAGAGTAACAGTAAAAGCTATCGTAATGTATTAGTGCTTCAGTTTTGTTTTTGTGTAATTCAATAAGCGGTTTATGTTGTACTGCCCAATGTCTAACTTTGAACAGGGTGCTATGGTGTTTGTAAGAGTAAAATACTGTGTTATGCGTTGTTTACAACTGGTATCAGTAACAACAACTAACAACTTACAACGGCTAACGACAGCTGACGATTGTAAACAACAGCTAACAACGGGTAACTGTAGGAGTCCATCTTGGTTTTCCGACTTGTTAACTGGAATGTCGTCAACTCGGGTGTAACATCATTCCCAGCTCCGACATCCGACTTCTGAGGTAACTGGAACGTAGCATTACAGTCAGGCAGTCTTGTAGACTGGTCAGGGGTCCTGTTACAGGGCCGATCAGGAAGTGACAAAGCGTACCGTAATGCTCTGAATATCCACTGGGCAGAGCAGCTTTGTTGCTTACCAAAGTTGAACTTAAGCATTTCGACAGATTTTTGAGCTCATTGTACCACAAAAAAATCGGTCAGTGAGCACAACAAGTAATCAATCATAAGGCGCGCTGGATTATAAGGCGCACTGTCAAAATTTAAGGATTTTAAGTGCGCCTTATAGTCTGAAAATTACGGTAGATGCATGATAACCATCGTCATAATGTGCTTTTGACAAAAAAAAAAAAACACTGTTGTCACCAGCGTTTATCAGTTTAATTCACGTTACGATCTTCATAAATGCACAATGCCTCTTCATATGTCTTTAATTTTAATCTATCCACCTTAAAGCTTTTAAACTCACACATATTTGCTGCCTTGTGTCTTATTAAAAGGAGAGAAATAAAAGATCGCCCTCGTTTGTAGTTAAAGTCTATTCCCACTCATAAAAAAGACAGTTCCTTCCAACTTCACAAACACCAGTATTTGACCTATTGGTTTCAGTGGCTCCTGTGCTGTAGCAGCTTTCTTCAGATGCATTTACTGCCTTATCAAATGTTAAGATCACACCAATTACCCAGCCCTGCTTCACTTGTTTGGCATTATTTATTACTGCGGACAGTGCTTGCTTCCCTCCCTTTGTGGAAATTACTTAGAGCCACCATTAAATGCTGTCTACTTGTTAAAGACTCTGCTGTCTTGGTGGCTGTTGCCCTTTTTGTGACACCGCTTTGACAATACAGCCATGTAGTCTGCGAATCATTAAATCTGCTCGCTAGACTTTTGCTGTTTGTCTGTGTTCTCGGTGGCTAAAACTGTACACGACTCCTTCTTCAAAAAAGGGAAACCTGTCGCTGCTGCTAAGAAGAGAAAAGGAAATTAACATTTTATTCTTTTTTCAAAGTAAGATGGACAAGTTTTGATAAGTTTGCATTCATGGACTGTATATTACATTATTTTCTCTGGTTTCTTGGTTGCTGCAAGTTTAATTCCAGCACTTTTTATCCTAAACTGCCCTCTTTGTAATTTGCTCCTCTTTTGTCTTCACCTTCATGTCCTTATATCTTCCCTCCCTCTTATCTCCTCTTTTTCGTTTTGTCCTCAAACCACCTATATCCTTGCTTCTCCTCTCTCCACCTCCTTCCTCTTTTAATTTGAACTCATCTCTTATCAGCTCCCAAATCTGTCACTATTTTCTCTTCTGTGTTAAACATTAATATCCCCTCTTTTTCATTTTTTTGTTCCTTCTTTTCTTTGACAGACAGGAGAGCAATGGCACAAAGCTTTGCTGTCATTCGGTGAAGGCAGAGCAGGTTATCATTCCGCGCTTACACACATGCCTGCACATACGCGGCAGGCATGCTTTTGATTCATGTCATCAATTATATCAATCACATATGAAACAGCAAGTGTTATCTTAGTGCTTAATGACCAATTAACAATGAATGATTAACCGATCATTTACAGCACTTGGTGGGGGAGATTGAAAACGTAGGCGAACGCAGGGAGCGCAACAAAAGGACACGTGGAAATTAAAAAAGATTTATGCCTGTTGATCTGTGAAAGCGTGTGTGTTGTAGTGTACTGTACTTGCAGAGACGTGTGTTTTTTTTCTACATGTATGTGAGCGTGTGCCTGATTGACTGCGATCCTAATCAGTAGTATTAGGTTTGTGGCATCCCGGTGACTCCCCACCTTCACGGAGATTTATCATTCCCGCATTGTGAACGCTGTCACGTTTTATCCGAAGCACGCCTGCTCCATTAATGGAGATGAGAGCGAGGACAGCTTTTCATGTCATTAGGAAAACATGATACAGCGGTGATTTAAGACTTGGTTGGAATTGTGCTTAATGCATTCAAAAGCCAACAATGCACAAGTGCTACATAATAAGGAGACGGCATTACATCTTGTATTTTACAGTGAAGGAGGAAAATGACAGCTTCCTGATTTAATAAGCCAAAGGTGGCATATTGAAAAAGCAGTGGCACGGCCCAATTAACAATGCTTTTTTTTTTTCTTTCTTTTGAAATCTTTTCTTTCTATTCACTACAGCCTCTCTCGATAATTCATTTTAGCGTACTCATGTACGTTCAAACAACCAGCTGATGGCAAAGCAGCATGTGGTGGCTATTATAAAGGTTAGTCCACCTCTGCAAGATTTGGTAATAATGTTCCAAGTTCTGAAGTTGTGCAGCAGAAAAAAGCTTAAAAGGTCCTCTGTGATGGCTGAATTTGTAAGTACAACTTTATGCCTGGTTTGAGAAACTTAGCTGCAGTGGTGGTAGATCATTTGAATCACTCTCTAATTGGGCAGAGCTGTGTTAAAAGCACTTTGATGCTGGATGTGAGTTTATTTTGCAAGTAGATGGAGCACTGTAGCATTGTAATATTTGTGTGTGGCGCATATATTTACATATTCCTTCGTGGATTTAGGATTGAGCTGAAATTGAGCCCAGGAGTTTCTGCCTCTGGTGAATTAAATTTGTTATGACACTTTTCCTGCTGTAGAAGGCTGAATTATCATGTGTGGACGCCTGCCCGCTTGCACATTCAGCCTCAGAGACTCTCCCAGAAGCAACGGCTCATTTTCAGTCGCTAAATACACTAAAAGCAAGATAGACATGCCTGTGCACTACACTCGTACACATACACACACACAAAAAAGAGACACCTCTATCTATCTGCAAGCAGGGCAGGTATGTGAGAACAGGAGTAGTGAGACACATCTCCCCCCTCGCTCTCTGCAGGAGATAACACACTCTCCTTTAGACTGTCTCAAGGACTCTTAAAAAGTGAGACAGAGAGAACAACTCTGCTGCTAAAATGTGTCTGTAGTAGAAATCCATCTTGTGATTGCAGAGTGAACAGAAAGGTTTAGATAAGGTTCAAAGCAGCTAGCCGCTGTGGTAACTACACATATTTGTTGTGTCACGCTGAGGCTTAAGACTTAATTTCAAATTTCAGGCAGTAGCCCGGCTTGTGCAACACTGCTTTAGTAGCAGCATCATACTGCTAATAAGGAACACTGTGTTAATATATGCACCCAGACCAAGTTTTCTCAAAGGGGATGAATTTTAATGTCTATTTTTTTGTGAGGTAAGCAGTGGCTGTACCTGCAATACAGCCAGTGTTACTTATTCTGAGGATAGAAAAGGGCAAAGGTCAGAAACGAGGGAGGACACTCGGTGCTCGGCCAGCAGAGGTCCATGTGAGTACCCAGAGGCTGAGGATTTAACCACTATCTTTGCACACCACCACAGGTCTGGTTATTATGAAAAGGATTGACCTCTCTCCTTTCTTTCACATAGGCCTTTACTCTGTCTCTCTCAAACACATCTCTCTCCAAGGTCCTGCGCACACACCGCCAAAGTGTCAAGGCGCACACACCTTCCTGAGCGAACAGACAATGATTTGAACAGAGCAGCTTCACACCCATTCCAGTGTTGAAGCCGTGGGATGTGAAGTGAATTCTGAATCCACCTTTGCAGTTCCCTCCCCAAAACTGCAGTTAGATTGAATTCTGTGGTTTTTCAATAAAATCCTACAGATCTATGATTAATACTGAGTGGTAATAAAGCCACCTTATGCTATTTTTACTCCAGCTAAAACACGTTGACCTCTCAGGGTTTACATGCTCTGGGATTCAACAGTGAACCTGTTCTTTCTTTAGTCTTCAATCCATACGAGTTCATAGATCGGCCTTCTCACAGCTTTTTTCCTTCTGGTAAAACCACCAAGCTGGATCCAAGTGCAGCCACACCATTATGTCGCAGAAAAATGAATGGGTTCAAAATTTGCCCGGAGACTTGCCTGGACATGTTCAGAATTCTTTCAGGTGTGTTAAGTATGTTATGCATGAGACTGTCTGAAAAACTAGGGTCAATACAGTGTGAGAGTATTATCCAGTACAGGGATAACACTTAAAATAAAATATAAGTGTAATACAGATAGTGCGGGGACGATGGCAATGGTCTTTGCTCTGAAAGTTTAGCCTTTTTTTCCAAAGCATTCATGTAAACTTGCAGTTCTGTCTTGAACTGTTGGTTACACTGCTTGACACTGCCTCCACAGTTTTGGGCTGTACTGCAACAGTCAGTCTGTAAATGTAGGCTTCCAAAAAACATGCTGTAATAGGCACAAAATAAATACATAGAATGGAAAGAAAACTGTCCGTCTTTGTATTTGTACCAGAAATAGAATATCAATGAGCCTCAGAAGTCCTCATCAACTTAGTTTGTAGTTACAGTAGGAAACTATTTTAAGTGCCTGACCGACCCAACACTACACAACAGACAATCATGCTGAAGTATAGCTCAAAGGGGAGGTTTGTTCACCAGGAGTTGGTGGAGGCAAAAAAAAAAGATGCCAAAAAAGCACAAATCAACTTTACATTTATAAGTGGGCACAAGTATGACTCCAAAGTGTGCTCATGTTTGTGTCCATTAGATTAAAAAGGGGTTCCAGTCTGCAGCGACCCGACAGTTCTCCCGTCCCTGTCGCCCCTGTATGTGCCTGTCTACTTTGTTTCTTAGACAGGATGAACTGTAAATGGGAATTTCCCCTTGTGGGACTAATAAAGGAGTATCTTATCTTATCTTATCTTATCTTATCTTAGATGGGTAGATATATAATTGCTTGTCAGCACCCTTACAGAAAACCTCACGACTAAGATGAACAAGCATCAGACTTACTTCAACTATCATTTGGCAATAACTTTTCACAGAGGAAATTTTAAGAATAAGAACGTTTTTTTGTTTGTTTTTTTCATCCCTGAAGGGAAATTTTGACTTTCAAATGACAGAATCCTCCAGACACGAAAGCAAATAAGGACACAGGTGTCTGATTTCTGGATGCACAGTCGTCTTCATGTTGTGTTGTGTTATGTATGTGTTATAGTGAAGAGCCAGTGTATTAAAATTTAGGTCGAACTGTCTTATTTATACCACAAGCCGGACAAAAAAATCCCTATCAAAAAACCATGATGGATACACACTTTGTTCATCCCGCTGCTCCACTGTTAATATTTGAATGCTATATTTTGTGTTTGTAAAATCAGTTTGAGATGATTTTGAGCCTGTATCATGTTTACTGCTTTTTGTCCACTTCATTATAATGTAACAGCAGGCACCTTCCCCATAGAGACTTCCCTGGTTCACTGCCTTAATGATCGGTACATAATATGTATGTACTGTTTTATGCATATATTTATAAATACCTTGTTAAGACCCTCTGTTTGTTTAACTGCCAGTTTTATTTTATATTTCAGCTGATCAACAACAGGAGCAAATCCTTGCTGCATAAGTGCACAGAGCAATTAACTAAAAACCTGGCAATGGCACCCCTCTAAAATCTGCATATTTTATGAACCATGTCAAGCTCCACATTCCCTGGGAGATTATTTGATCCAAAATGAGTCCAAACACTTGGCTGCATAAAGATCAGGCTGATTGAATTGATTTCCCCCCCTATAGTTTCATAGGCAGCAGGTATACTTGTCTGTTTGTGCACGCACAGCACACCGCCAGGATCTGCAGAGTTCCTTCTTTACTGTTCTGTCATCATTTTAAATTCAATGAGGAGAAAACTTAATGTTATTAGAGTATAGGAATCAATTCTTTGAAATTTAAGCATTGATCGGGAATCCTACAAGGTAAGAATGTTAACGACCTGAATCGAATTCACCTCACCTTTATTATGCCTGCCTTTGTAGATACAGTGTTACCATCAGTCACCTTCTAATTCTCTGCCTCCATCCTTCCTACAGTTACACTGTCTGTATAAAGACTCATGCAAGGATTCAATGAAATGAAATCGAAACATCTGAAGATATGAAGAAAAATGCACGCACAAGCACACACACCTCCCGGCATGGATTCAATTGCCTCTGTGTTTGTAATTACGGCTCTGCAGGAAGTAAAATGGAGCACCTGGGTGCCCTGGAGTGGAATACACTCTGAATGAACTCTGTATGTTAAAACCTTTCTAATCTTGGAACCAAAGGTTGAAATACACTTGTGCCGCAGTGGTTAAAATCTACCTCTCAAACCAGAGCAGGCTGTATTTCAAATATTTATGCTTTTAAATGTGACACACTTTATCTGTGGAGACAAATACACTCATACACTGCAGAAAAAAACAGTGATATTTGAAATGTCATGCATAATAATTAGATGGTTTCAAGTAACAGCTTGTTTGTCTTAAACTATCCTCAATATGTAACACCAGATGAAGTAAAATCACTGGAGAAGAGGCCACTCCAAAAAAGCCCTACAAAGTGTCCCTATTGCAGTTTTTTATTGAAACGAACAACAATTTTTTACAATTATCATCTCCCGCATGGCTGTTAAGACATATATTGCAATACACTCGCTGCAGTTTTAGCTCTTTTTCTTTATCTTATACCCATTTGCCGTTTCACTTGAGGTTGAAATGGGTTTAATCACAACCACAGGCAATAACTTTCACTTGGAATTACTTTGCTAGTCTGTTGCAGAAGGGGAAAAAAGGTTTTGCTAATGTTTTGTATTTTCTCTCTGTGTGGGCAATGTGTGCATGCAGCAGTCTTTGTTTCTCAGGAAGCACTTTATATCATTTGCAAGCAGTGTGAAAGAAGCCAAGAGCAGATAAAAAAGAGTGCAATGTGATTAATTAATTAACTGGCTGAGAGCTGTAAGGGGACGGTACAGCGAAGGACAGTGATGGAGTAAAACACACTTTTATTTGTACCTATAGTCAAAACAATCCGATATGCGTGTTCTCATACTCAACATATAGGCATATTGGAGCGCAGAGGTAGTTGGCTGGTTGATCGACCACTTTGGTTCAGTCCCAAATATCTCTTTACTGCGTAATCTAAGTAAATGGTGCTCAAGTCTAGCAAAGATTTCCAAGGCAGACTCAGGCATATCCACCGCTTTAAAAACCTGACAGACAAAAGATAATAATAAGCCCCATTCACATACGCTCTTAAAAAACTCAAGACATTTCTCAGGGTCTCAGGGGGCAAACTATGATCTAAAAAAATGCAGTCAAAATTGCACTATGTTGGTAGTTGAAGCAGAGTCTGACGCTACAAAAAAAAAAAAACTTTACCTTCATATCATACTCTGTGTAAATGGATGCATTCATGAAAAAGAAAAAGATTGAAAAGACACTGACAGGCAGAGAAGAGTATGAAGCAGATTTATTAAGTGCATGAAGATCGAACCGGTCACAGATGATATCATGATACTAATGTTTTTCTCCCTTGTTGTGAATTTTCCTGGAATAATTTCTGCTGTGTTTGCACACCTGATTACCCCAGCGGGAAAAATTTTGGAGACAGTCAAATGAATTTTTTTTTGGCTTATTACACTTAATAGCGCAGCCAACCCCAAATAACCCAGCACATATAAAGAAGTTTGTCTGGATAAAATAATAAATACTAACATTTGAATGTTTACTTGTTTAGAGTTTGTTTCCATCTGACTTCTTGACTCTACAGAATCGACCAGTTTTGGACTCACTATGAAAATGCAACGCCCCCTGGTCTATGTCAGAGCAAAGCAGTGGTTATGAGGGGCAAACATCGCCTTTTTAGAGGAAAGGGATGACTGATGAGGAGTTGAAATATTCAGAATAAAAGATCATGATAAATCAACGCGGTATAGTCTTCAGTATGTTATATTTAGACTTCTGATTGCATTGTAACACCCACAGGAGACAAGCATCAGAGTACAGCAAACCAAGAATGCTTCACTTTCACAGTTAACTATCTCTGCTGTTCCAGGTTTGCCTCCTCATTACCAAATGTTGACAGATTTCATGTGACACAATCAAGCGGGCATGTCAGCGAGTCAAGTCTGTCTTCATTCCTTAACAGAATTCAAATTGGATTGGAGACTTATTATTTAGCTCTCCTGCGTGTACTGAGCAGTCACACTCACACTCGCGGCTACGCCTCTCTTCAGACAGACCTTTGAAAGTCCTCAGAGTGAAGACTCAGCACTTGAAAGGCCACTTGGACTCTGGCTTAACTGAAACAGTCAAGGAGAAGCTGGCTCGCTTATTTGTACATTGCAGTTGTAGCCAGTATGGCACTACAGGTCTGCGTGTACGTTTGGGTTTCATATCTTTCAAAATACAACTCCCATGAGGGGAAAAGGGGAGACAGGTAGAAGGAGAGGGAGAGAAACCTTAAGTCCAACTAAAGAGGAGAAACAGCACAGCCCACAGTTGGAACTAATAAGGCCTACACGGTACCTGTCTGTATGTATTTTTCAGCTGAATAGCAGTCTACTCGACCATGTCAACCTGAACATGGCTGAAATTTGTTTCCAGTCAAAAGTCTTTCCTGTGAACACTTTTCCGTTCCATCGCATGAAAACCTCAATGCAACCATTTCTGACAGCAATGGACCAGCAGTAGAAATTTTAAAAAACATATACACAGTTATGAAAATAAAGCACCTTCTCGTACTTATGAAAACTGCACACCCTGCAGTTGGAAATATTCTAATAAGATGCTCCATTAGTTTGTCAGTGCTAGTGGCGATAAGTAGCAGAGGAGCGAGAGGTATAAACCAGTGGTAATTGAATATTGGGGTCCCAGTGGGAAGATGAAGGGTAGCCGTGCTATTAGACAGAATTAGCCACCCTCTCCCACAGGAGCACGCACGTTTAGACACTGTGTGCACACAAGTGGTTGTGAGTGAGGGTATGTGTACAGAGGACCTGCATTTGCAGTCCATTTGCACTGTCATGCAAGTTTTGGCATGCAAAAGCCCTTCGCATTAGGGTGAACTAAATGACATACCTTGAACTTCTTTTGACATTACTCTTCATGAAGAACTTACTAATAGCTGCGTTTACTTCGGCACAAATAATCGTAATTAAGGCCTGATCGGAATAAAAATGCATCATGTAAACACGTCAATTGGAAGATTCTTTCTGATCCGGCTAATTCGGAAAGGAATTGTATTCCGATCAAGAAGGGCGGTTTGTGCTGATCGTTATTCCAAACCGTGTCCATGTCAACACTTAGGCCGTTTTCGAATACCCCTACTATGCTAGCAGTACATACTGATTTGCCCAAAGTTTAGTATGCAGTTTGCAGTAGGCGAAATTTGCAGTATGCAAAACATACCCAGGTGACGTACTGATTCAGGAAAATTTCACAGTAGTCATCGGACCAGTCTGCATCGCCTACTGTTAACCACAATGCATACTGCATACTCGTACACTGTATGTACTGCATACTGCATTTGGCAGGGGTATGCAGTCAGCCAATTAGAAAACGGGCTTATTCCGATCATGACTCTCTGTTGGGGCAAAACTAACCTAACTGCGCATGTGTGCCCTACATCAACGTGACGTATTTCCACCGATGGTGACAAGACGTAAATATAGCGGGATCCAAGAGCAATATGTCTATGTCTGACACAGCTTTCTTGCTTGATATAGTCTCCTTGTGTAACACATGATCAGTATATGCTCTGGGCCTACTTGATGATCACGTATGCTAGGAGTAATGTCACCGCTCTCAGAACTTGGCTTCTGAGTGGAGGGAAAAAATCCTGAATCAGATGAATTGAGCCACTACCGCGTTTGTTGGTTTGTTAACAGCACAGGTGGAAATACAACTCTTCTTCTGCAGTTGTTTAAGTGAAATCAAACAACTCTGCTCATGTCCAAATGCTTCTAATCTGAATAAAGCTTGGTGCATGTATACGCACGTCATGATCGGATTATTTGATTTTGCACCCATATAAACAGGAGATTCAGATTTTCCAAACCTCAAATTTTTAATCTGGTCAAGAAATTATGCATATGTAAATATGGCTAATGATTAATAAACATTCACAAATTAAAAGGATTTGGTTTCGATGCAAAGTGCGTAAACTGGATCCAACTGGATAAACTGGATACCCTTATTATGTGCAATAATAAGGGTAGCAGGTGATTGAAAGAGCAGATTAATCATAAAATTCTTTCGCTGAGTTAAATGCCAAAGATACATATAGAGATTAGGAGAGAGAGAAAGAGAGAGGATGGAGAGTTGGAGGGCTGTAGGATGGAGAGGCATGCAGCCAAGACTCTTTGGCGGGAGGTAAATTGTTGCGTCATTCTGGTTCAGTCAGGTGATTCCTTTAGCACTGGTGATAAATGGTTGCCAAACATTTTTGGAAAGGTGTGGTTCTCTCTTTTTTGTTTATACTGGCACATTTTAAAGAAGTTTAAAAAAAAGCGTCTTTCACTTCCACTAATGAATGCCTATAGTTAGTTCTAGCAGACGCCAGACGGACATTACAAGCTGTTCTTGCCAGGAATAGATGGAGGGATTTCATGTTTTCATGGTAAGCACGCTTTTCTAGGGTTTCATGGATGGAGTGAATGAATGGTCAGAGTAGAGGAATTATAAGGTGAATAATAGGAGTAAATCTAAGTGTGTAACACCTTCATATTTGTGCAGAATGCAGGGATCAGTTTAATGTAGCCTCTTTTAATATGCACTGCTGAACTTTTCTGGTGGGGGCTCAAAGTCTTGAGAGGCAGGACATGACATCAAAAGCCAAAGAAGCCAATGTAAAATATTTTCAGTGATGAGGATCAACAGAGGTTTATGCTTCAACACTTTTAGGTATCTGCACCAATACTATGTGTGAAGACATTTTTGCTGTCCTCATCTTGAAAATGATTCTCCTTCTTTGGCCTAAGATGTTGTTACAAGTCCCATTCCTCTTTGCTCCTCGGGTTTTACACCAATCGCATGATGTGAAAATCATCACGCCACCTTAGCATTACAATAAATCTCTACAATGAATGTTTTTCACTGTGGTCTCAAATCAGTTTGCTCTGACTGCAAATTTTTACCGGGAGTAAAAAAAAGTAAAAATGGTTGATGAAGTTGGGGTGAAATTTTCAGCTCTTTGTTATAAATAAAAAAATACCCCTGAAAATTTCGGCATGGCTAATGACAGCTTATATCTTTTGGATATTTTAATCATAGAAAACTTTACAGGTCATAGATCTTCACGGCTTCTCCGGTGTACAAGCCAATTCTGGACGCTGTCAATTTTTACTGCGTTGCTTACATCTAAAAACAGGGATTTCCTAGTACTTGGGAAGCATTAACTCATGTGACCTTCTTCCATTCTTCCTTTCACTTAACTTCTGAATAAATCAAAGCCAATTATTTGAGATGCAAAGTCAGTTTAGTGTAGCATGTGTCTGTAACATTTCAGCTAAACGCTCTGCTTGATAAAGCATAAAACCCCCCATCATTTTATGAATCAAAAGTAGGCTAAACCAGACAGAAGCACTACAAGTGAGGAGAGGATTTGCATGAAAATCAACTCAGTCTCCAGCACACACAGTGTATTTGTAACTCCAGCAGACAGTATACAGCGTAGTATGGTAATGGGGCACTGGGACATTGTCAGTTTCTGGCAGCTAAGATTACGTGTCATTGTCCCACTTTTTTTTCTTTCTTTTCTGTCTTTTTTTTTTTTTAATATGTGCTGAAAGAAAATTCTGTCTCTTAAGCTCTATCAGGCAGGAAAGCTGCTAAGACACCAAACTGAAACATGAATAGGTTATCAGAGGTTAGAATAGAGTCTTTTCAACTAGCCTGACTTCATTATAACTTTTCTAAATTTTTACTAATATGAACCACGCCGTCACTGACAGTTTTGTTGTAATTATGAGGGAAGCTTCTTAGACAGCTTGAAACTATAAACTGATTTTCAATACATGCACGGTATTTAACGTCAAGGAAGGGGCGGAGCATCCAAAAGGAGGCCGTTAAGCTGTCATTTAAAAGCACTGTGAGGAAAAGTGGTTGAGAAACAATCTGAAACTGTTACTGATGCTTCTCTATGACCTTCAAAACCAAACAACACTGATAATTTCACTGCACTAACTTTAAATGATCAAAAATTCTTGGAGGGGGGTAAGTGTCAAACAAGATGATTGACAGCAGGCTGAAAACCAGCCTTTTAAACTTTGTGTACTGTAAATACTCAAAGTGACTCGTACATTTCATTGTTTCAAAACAACAGAATGAGGTTTTTGTCTGGAAAAAAATTACTTTCACAGGATCAGGAAAAAATACAAGGGGTATTATTTTGTCCAAAAGGGTATGCCAATATCAACACAGAGCAAAAGTTCCTCATAGCAGATTTAAACATGTGTTGAATTTATACTAACAGAGCTTTAGAGGCCTTGAGCGAGCAAAATGTTGACTTATTTCTTGGTAGGTTGGATTGAGTTTCAAGAAAATAAAAGCATGTTTGCTGCTGGATTTTTTATGCAAAAAATGTCACACAAACTGTGTTTGTCACTGTAAAACCTGTATAACATATTTTCTATTAAATTCACATAAATATTAGTTTTCAATTTTCTCCTTTTTTTTTTTAAAGCAAATATTATTGACTAAATGAACTGTAACTCCTTTAGTAGGTGTTCTTATAGCTGTTGCATTTGGATGGTTCAGTAAATTTTCGACATCAAGGAAGACATTAGACTTGAGTTCTTTGTTTCTTTACAGCCTTGTACCAAAAGAGTCGTAATGCATACCTTAAACAGTTTTTTTTCTGGTAATACATTTGATACCACTTATCTTGTAAAGCAGACACACCGTAGTCTAAACCTTGAAAATGTAAGAGGACTAGTTTTGAGGTATTCCAATAATATTGGCGGCATAGGAAAGTATTTCAGCCTTGGATGATGAGAAATTCTTCACTCAGGCTATTTACTGGGGGATTTGCAAGCCACAAGCAGATACTCAGGAACTTCACCAGCTAGTTTCCAAATAATGTATACGCTTGAGGATTATGATATTAAGCATGCAACATAAACTACCAACATGTACATGTGTTATGCATGTATTCACCTCTCTCCCAAACGCGATTATAAATGACTTAAAAATAACGCAGCTAAAGATGGGCCAACTTGGCGTTGGTTCTCCTACAGAAAAACGGTGTTAAGTCTTCATTCTTTAGGAATTAAAGAGTTGAACTTTCTGAATGACGAGCTCTGAGACAAAGAAGCCGAGAGCAGGGCTGGAGAAACAAATATAAATATCTCCAAACTAACACAATGCGGAGCTGTGTTTTGGTGTAAAGGCATTCTTGGTTCACAGCCAATATGTCAGAGGAATAATCATGTCCATTCAAGAAAAACACTGACTGCTGAGAGAAAAAGCACAATGCCCTTTCCTGGAACAATATTTTATGGAATCAGACTTATCTTCATGTATTTTTATGAGTTATTATTGTACATGTTTTATGGCTTAGAGAAGGAGTCTCCAGAGACCAATTTTTGGGATATATTTTCATCACTAACTGTAAGAGTCGGATGATTATTCAGTGGGTTTCTCGAACGGGAACTGAAGCAGATGACACAGCTATAATTTGGTCTCTCAGATGCTCCATCGACAGTCTCAGCACACACACTCTCTGCCTCTCTGTCACTGATGGAGAGTCACGACTTCTCAAGTTGAAGAAATATGCGAGCACACACACACACTGACACGCGCACACACGTCAACATAGAGTGGCGAAAAAACACTCGAACATCCACACATAACTTTTTGTGTCTGTTCAAGCTTTCTGAATTAAAGAGCTTCTAACCCCTCTCTCACACTCACACAAATACAGATAACGCTCACACAAACACAAACCCGCACATAAATTTAAAAGACTCTGAATCATGAAACCACATAATGAATAGTAATCACAGGCATTTCCATAACGCAGAACATAATCCCTGATGAAAATTCAGAAGAAGAAATGAATTATAGAGAGGAAAAACAGCCAAGCACCAAAACAAGTGCAATAATGTAATGAATGATAAAATGAAGGAACTTGACGCCAGGTCGGGGGGAGATGGTGGAGCTCGAGGGTGAGGAACGGCGACGCATGCGTGTGCTCGTGTGAATGCACTCACTCGACATTTACGCCTTCATGTGTCATTAAAATACCCGCGTTATTTCCAGACGGTATGCCTTTAAATGTTCATTTGCATGCAGGGGTGTTTGTCTATGTGGGTGAGTGTGTGTGTGTGCGCGCCTGTATGTAATCTAACGGTTTATGCAGTGAAGTTAGAGCTTATTAAAGGGAGTGTAAAGCAGAGAGAGTGTAATTACCAAACATAAATGAGAAGCTCTCACCCAATGCATTAAATTACCCTGAGAGAGGAATGCCAGCTGATAATTGGACTTTCTCATCTTGGCGTGCGCATGTGTGTGCGCATGCAGTATGTGTGTGCTTCCATGTTGAAGTGCGTAGATGAAAATGTTTTAACTTAAAAGATGGTGTGCGATTTGAACTCAAGTGCAGTACATGTTTTAAGAGAGAGGGGGAGAGGGGATGTGTGTGCGTGTGTGAGCGCGCACATGTGTGTGTGTGTATCTGATGTCCTTCCCCTGTTACTCTTAATACTTGTGTTCTTGCTCACTTCCAAAGGTGATTAATCCATGTGTGCTCTAATTCTGACAAACCATAGTTCACTCAAGGCTTCGGCTAACCCTGAATGTGTGTGTGTGTGTGTGTGTGTGTGTGTGTGTGTGTGTGTGTGTGTGTGTGTGTGTGTGTGTGTGTGTGTGTGTTGTGGTCTAGTTCTCAACCTTTAGTCACGAGTTTGTTCAAGCACGTGTCAATCCCAATCCATCAAAGAAGAATCCGAGTCGTCTCCACACTTCAGTTCAAGTCAGAGACAAGTCCTCACTTCTAATACTATCATTCATTCATTCATAAGCAGCTCTGCTTTTTCACACCAGATATTCACTGTTTGAACCTTGATTGACTGGAAAGGACCTTTTGGATTTGTGGAAAACAAATTTTATTTATTAAAATTAGATTCTGACTGATCCTGTTGGCATGCCTGAAGATTTAAATTGTTAATGAAGCTTCAGCACACTGCGCCTCTCTTACCAGGGAAACACACTCATTGGTTTTGTTGCATTAGAATCACTGCTGGTGACTAACACGCTCAAATTACCAACATCCCACCTGCTATTAATCAGAATATGACAAACCAAACATCTTGGACCCAGTGGTTGAGTCACTTAAGATACTAGCACGATTGTTAGTTTGCTAACTGTCAGTCTAGGTTGGCTAACTTTGGTATCTCACTTAATTTTTTGGGTGCATCGATTACAGCTGATTAAATTTAAGGCATGCACAGTATTCTCTTCAAACATTTTTGGTAGGGCTGAAACGATTCCTTGAGTACATCGATTACGAATAATGACTGAGGGATTTTCTCTGCCTCAAGTACTCGTTTATAAGCTCAAATCGTCACTGTTTCGCACAGATTATTTTCCAGGTGACAACGTACTTACGTCACCATGGTAGAAGAAGGAATAAGCGCGGTTTTGGTTTTGCAGAGCAGGAAAAATGAATGATGAGAGGGGCTTTTCTTCTGCTGAGCTCCAGTAGCTCATCATCACTTCGCCTCTGAGTCGTTGGCGGAGACAGCGCTGCTCTGCACACTCTTTCTCACGTTAGCTTGCAGCCTAACATTGGCGGTGTAGTAGCAGAAGCAGGTAACATAGGAGCTATTCAGTTCTTGGACACTAATGTCTTTAGGGACACGATGAAAGCTAATATCATAATTAGCTTTCTTATGAGCATTGCAATCTGCTAACGCACACAATTGTTCCACGATTGTCCTCTATTTTTCCGAGTCTAGCATTCATAGCAGGGATCCGGGGTTGGAGCTTGGATTTGTGACATAGGAAATCTCACTGTGTGTGAGTCTGCCGTTTGGGTCTGATTACCTGAGTAGTCGCTGGAATTTCCAGGAGAATACGCGATTACTAAAATATTCAATAGCTGCAGCCCTAGTTTTTAGCATATAGATTGGGTTAAAAAAAATTGAATATCCCAAGGAAGTTCTTTTTCCCCCTATATGTTAATTCAAAAAGTGATATTCCAGATTCATCACACACAAAGTGAAATAGTTCAAGACTTTTTTAGTTGAAATCTTGATGTTTACTGCTTATCTAAAAATTCAGAAGTCCACGATCTCACTAATCACAAATCACAACCGTCACAACAGTCATTACCCCAAGACGCTTTCCAAAAATAGCCGGTCTAGACCACACTCATTGTTTGATGAATTACCAAGACCCTACCTTAAGATGGGACAGATTTGACCCATCTCATTTAACATGAGTGACAGTGGCAAGGGAAAACTTCCTTTTAACAGGCAGAAACCTTGGGAAGGACCAGACTCGTGGCATGGATGGAGGCAGGTATTACTGAAGTCCAGGTTGTTGTTATAGTGACTTTTAGCTCATCTGAATTGTGGCTCTGGTGTCTCTCGTCTTTCTCTTGATGATACTCTGGAGATTCTCTATGGGGCTTAGTTCAGGAGAGTTGGCTGACCAATCAAGTACAGGAACACCATTGTGCGCAAATTTGCAAAATAAAGTTGTTGATTGTATTGATAAAGATTTAGTCACAATTTTTCTTTGTCAAGGTGTCGATGGTACTTTTAGTCTGAAAGTTGTCATTTCATTGCACTGTGTTGAGTCCTTAAAAAAATTCTGATTGCAAACTGAAAGCACAGAGGTGACCTTAAAAGCACCAGAGCTGCACCCAGTTCTTCAAATTTTGAAGCTCAGGGACGCTGATTAAACTGTCGTGTTTGCAGATTTGGGGGTGCATGCAGTGAGGAAATGGAGGTATGGTTGTAAAGAGGAAATACGGCTCAGTCAACCTTTGCAGGTGATTAAAGCTCTGAAATAACTGACAAAGAGGTGGACACTTCCAAATTTTATGTTTATGTTTTTAACACAGTGGATTTTTGATTTTAGTGAGCTGTAAGCTGTGATAATCACGTTTTCAATAAAAAGAACACTGAAATATATTTCACTTTGTTTGTAATGAATGAACAGAAGTTAAATTATGGTAAAAACACCTGCACATGTTGTACTGCTCTTTCTTGCATATTCTGTCAATTCTTGGAAAACAAAATGCATGATTCATGGCACCTCTTTTAGCATCCTGGAGGGAACTGTTGCAGAACAAGACGGTGTGTGAATGCACATTCAGGTTGACATGTGTCAACCCTGTGTGGAAGTGAATAAATCATCAGGGCCTGATTGTGTATAGGGTCTGAGTCAGGGATGTAATTGCTCCACTCCAAGACGAGCCACAAGTCCGAGTAAAGGACTCAAGTACTCCAACACCGGGGTGTGTAGCTGAATGGCAAAACCGTATGTACTCCGGAAAAACAGGAACTCGTGCCGCACTTTGGCTTTCATGTGTGTTGATTGGATAAAAGCGGCGCATACTGAGTGTTCTGTGAGTTTCTTTGTGTTTCAAAGCGTGAGATTAATTGTATATTGGTGTTAGTGTGTCAGCGGAAATGAGAGCCGGGGAATGTTTGAGATAGAGACTGATTGCCTATCGATATATCCAAGAGAAGACATAAATTCAAACATGTGGGCGGTTATGTGGAGACACAGTATGTATACTGAATATGTGTATGTGTGTGTGTCTGTGTGAGTGTGTGTTTCTCCCCGTTGTGTGTCCCTGAGTGCATTTTCCTCCTCCTACTCCCCTCTTTTTTTCCTCTGCACTGTCCTTGCAGTGTCCTTCTCTCTGCCTCCCTTTTATTCTGCTCTCTCACCATCTCCATCTCCTGGCCTTGCTCTTTGTCTCTCTATGTCTTCTTTACCCCCCCCCCCCACACACATTTTTTTTTTACTCTCTCTCTCCCTCTCTCTCTCCACACACAAACAGTCTCTCTCTCTTTCTCCTCACTTCCCTTTCTCTCTCTAACTTTCTGTACCAAGGGAATAACATGCTTCAGAGCTTTCAAATGGAGACAGAGAGGAGTAGCTCCAATCAGAACTGCCGCAGATCTTTTAAGCAAACACGGCAGCCATGTCAGCGCACACAAAGTCTCACGGTCAACTGACACACGTGTGCACGTTGACAGGAAGACATTTGAGGTGTTCTGAGACGGGAAAACTGGGGTTTATTTGAACCTGGAAAGGGGGGAAAAAAAACACCTTTAAGAGCTGGAGGAGCCTGGTACAGAGGGAGGAAGATGAAACAACCTGTCAGGGAAGAAAACTTGCAGCGGATTAGAAGAGAAAGACAAGAGTGGGGAAGAGCAAACAAAGCAGAGGCTTTCTAGAGAGGAGAATATAGAGAGAAATGAAACAAGGTAAACACTATCGGCTAGAATGACCAACAGACAGGAGCAGACAGAGGAAGAGAAAGGGGGATAATGGGGAAAAGAAAGATGGGCATTAAAGCGGACAGCACACAGAGAGGAGTGACGAACTGACAGAGGGATAAACCGACAGAGACGTAGCAAAGGGGTTAGTTTGCTAAATGGGTCTGCTTGATAATTGTGTTCTGTGACAGCTGACAGTAGCGCCACTTAATTAAAGCCAAGCAGGAAATGACTATTTATAGAGACTCCATCCCATCGGCACTAAATGACATGGTGTTTTATTTCCCTGAAACCCACTGGCCGCAAAACGCTGACTTTATTTAATTCGATAAGTGTGTGTTTGGAAGGGGAGGTGGGGGAGTTAGTGTGTGTGTGTGTGTGTGTATGTGTGTGTAAGTGAGTGAGCTCTGTGCGTGAAGGCAGTAGGAGGGGTCCGAGTGTGGGTCTGTTTCGCCGTGTAATCTGTAGGAAGTGTGTGTAGGAAAGATATATCTATATAAAGAAATAAGTCATCCTTATTATATAAATTTGCTCAAGGCAATTAAAAACAAGCACAATATCCACCCAACACACACACACAGTCACACACTCCTACGAAACACATGTGCATGCTCACACCCTCACACACACACAGACACACACACACACAGCCATGTCCCACGACAATGCACAGTTTGACAGCATTCTCCCTGACAGTTTGAAATGTCAGCCCCAAGTGTCTGTCCAAGGGCGCAGATGAGTGTGTCTGAGTGTGTGTTAGTATGTGAAGACATGTAGGGTTTTAGAGAAACTATTTCCTGGATGTCAGCTGTACAAACTATTCACAAAAATGTCCTGCTGCCTGCTTTTTTAACATTCAAATGGCCTAAAAAGTGGAAATGAATGAGGGGCCTGGATAAACAGAGGTGGTACCTCTGTATTTGTGTAGTGTAATGATAACTACTCTTTAATTTTCTATTCAACTATTAGCTCTTATAATCTTACTTTTATGTATTGAGCTGGTTTTGTAATTTCAGAGGTTTTCACTGGAATAAAAGTACATTACCCTCTTTGTTAAGATTTGGAGCTTCCCAAAGTGACTACTGTGATGATCTTCCTCTCAAACATTTGAATCAAGTCAGGTTGTGAGACTATCATAGGTCTACATCTGCAGTATTAGCTCAATTATGCAATGACATTGGCAATAAATCAATATGTTTGCTATCATGTGAATGGATTGGACAATCAAATAGGCCTCGAGATGCTTATTTGAATCTCCCTGTAAACTGGATTTCCTAGATATTCTTCTCTGAATATTGGCTATGCATTTTCTTCTTCATTGATTGTGTATTATTTTCAGAGAATTACAGCTCAGACCTTTAGCAAAGCCATCTGCTAGAACACTGACTCTAATCTTGACCAGTACTCACTCCAGTCAGAGAGGTTTTCTACAGCTCACTGTGACTATCTCTCCCCACAGCGCAGTGAAATAAAAATCATTTGAATGAGCCACTCACTGGATCCGAACAAAAAGTATGTGTTTTTTTTTTTTTCAACTGAAATACTGGAATTTTTTTTAAGGTCCCCTTTAAAACAAACCAAAAACAAACTTGACTTCTGTTACCCTCGGTTTGAGAGCAGCAACATGTTGGATATACTTGTACTGGCTTTGTTTCTTCAGTAAAATTAGCTCACTTCAGTTAAAAATTATAACTCAAGAAGATATTCTAGCCCAAGACTATGTTTTATTTGACTTATTAGCCTTATGTTTTTTATTTCATGATCTCTGCATTGATATGATAGGCCTACATGTAGACTAAGTGAATTAAATTATTCATTCATTCACCGAAAAATGAGAATGCTACATTCATAATAAATGAATCTTTTCTTCTTTTTCTACAGGGGATGATGTGGTTTACATTTATGTCATGACATGAGCATATTGCTGGAAAAAGGCGTTTTAATGTCAGCTTTGCCTGGTGTTAATGGACACTCTGGTAAACATTTAAAATAAAAAGAACCAATAAAATAATTTCCAGGATTTGTTTTCGTTTCACATACTGTCAGATGACAGATCCACCAACAGAGGGCTGGTCAAGCTACAAGATGACTTCAGTGCAATAGCTGTATTAGAGGGGTAAACAGCTAAGATTCATAAATACAGAACTGGTTTGTTCCTAAAACAATGTCAGTGTGGTTGTTTAATAGTGAAGTTGTTGTATGATATAAGTTGGTCATTTGTTCCAAAAATATCAGCCTCTAACAGATCTGATGCTACACTGTGATAACATGACTGTGCATTGTTGGAAATAACTATCTTTAATTATGATCTTGATTCTGTCAGTCAAAATGGCATCAGTATTAACTTCAGTCTGTTTCTTGCAGACTAAAAACTCCTTGAACGTTAAAGTAAAGCTGTGGGCTTTTTGAAAAAAATGTGATTTAATTAGATAAAAATATCTTCTATTTTTTGCATTGACAAATATTGTGCACATTTCCTTTAGTGGGACGGATTCAAAACACGATGGGCCAGGTTTCATCAAATCAACAACAACACAGAGCAACACAAGATTTTCTAATTCTGGGTTGTTGTTTTTTTTGTTTGTTTGTTTGTTTGTTTGTTTGTTTGTTTGTTGTTGCTTTTTTAATCCAAGTCAAGAAACTTGAACAACAGACACTTAAACAACTTACTACTCTTAATACAGGGCAGCTAACAATCTTCAAAATAAACCTGGGTTAATGAGTGCATCTTGTGTTGGTATGGTTGGTATGATGTTGACGCATAATATAATTTTGTGTGATTTGTGTGTCTGTTTGTGGCTGTGTGTGCAGTTTTAAGTTTAATAGCCCAGCAGTTTAAAGTTCCCTCAACTCAACCTATTTGTCTCCTTTCACTTTAATTTAGTTTGGAGCCAGCGTTTCCACCATTATGGGGCCCTACAGGTCTCTCACTGACTGATGGGTGATATCTCTAAGACTATACTCGTGTATCATGAAACTATGCAAAAAGACTGATTTTTAATAAGTAAATAAAACAGATTTTCTGTGTGGCATCTAGTGGCAAACATGTTTTTGAATCCAAACACTCTTTATCATCTAAACTCCATCTGAACTTTGTTTCTCAGCGCAATCCTTTTTAAGTATCCTTAAAGTGAACTAAAATGACATGAGTTACCCATTATCTCCTTCTGCTGATTTTTTCTTCTTTTTTATTCAACTTTGAATTGAATCTTTCCGCTTTTTCATTCTTACATTGGAGTTACATCACCTCCTGAATTTTGGACGTCTTAATCCCTTTATCCGAGCCTGTTACTTAAACTTCATTTGCTGTTATAAGACATAGTCGGAGTGCTGAGTGTGAGAACCATTGCTGCCATTTGAACATATCTGTAGTGTCAAGCACTTATAGATCTACCGTAAGTAGGCCTGTCTTTGGTCTAAATACATCCTAAGGGACAACAGTTGAAGATGAAGACATGAGACAAGGTATCAAGGATATATTCAGTGGTTTTCTTCATCTGACTTGGAGGACTATGCATCACTATTTTGTCAGACAGGCCCAGCTCAGCTCCTTTAACGACTGCCAGCGCTGTTGGCACATGAAGAACAGAACACAAAACCAGAACAAAACACATAACTGTCTGTGGTTTCATCCATACTAAAAATGAATCCTCTAGAGCTTGGATTGCCTCATCCACTTTCTTCTTCTTGCCGAATCCTTCTGTTTCTGTGGACGTCGCCCAATGCAGCACTTTTGCATCTGACTTTTTTGTACTTAATTTTTGTGTGTGTGTGTTGGATTCTACCAAGAGATTTATAACAGCAAATCTTTATGTAAACATATCCCCCATATTTGTAGCTTGGAAAGTAAATGTACACTGCTGTACCAGACACAAAAAGAAACTACAATTAACAATAGTGGAAAGAGAGACTATCAGAAACCCTGATCAGCTTTCACAACACTACAAACATTTAAGGATTGTGTTTATTTTTTCCTGGCGACTATAATTTGCTTATGATTCCTGCTAATTGTGTCAACATTTATGACTTCTGTGGTAAATACAGAAATTAAAACAGAGATAGTACATATGTGAGTGCCTTAAAATATGCAATAAAGCTGTCTTAGTTTGATACTTTAAAAGTTAAGAGTCTAACAAAGGAATAAACATCATGCAAGTTGTTTTCACTTCCACCTAACAAAGGTGCCCAGTGAGCAGCATTATAGTAAAATAAAGGGATATAATTTCTATGAATATGATTAGACAACACTGTACATAACAAAGATCAAGCGTACTGCATAGTCCACAGGGGCGACAAAAATCCACACAAAGTAAAATTTCTCCACTTTTCTATGTGTGGACTTAAAGAGGCGTATTGTTGTTTTTTAAATATGCAGTGAGGAGTTTTGAACTGGTTATGAAACAGACTGAACCTGGTGCTCATGTCTTATATAAACTACAAAAAGCAAAGAATACCATGAGGTGTAGGATTAAATATCTTCATGAAGTTGTTCTCAATGCCTTTCATTGCTGCAGCCAGGTTAATGTCAGACAGAGAGCCTTTGTTTACATTTCTACTTCAGGACTCACAGTGAGGTAGCAACCTGCCAGAGTGATGCTTTTCTCAGTAAAACCAGGGAGGGATGAGAGTTTTCACATCAGTACTGTCTTCTCATATGGGTCACAACACAGGCTGTAAGCTCCTCACGGTGGCTTTGTGCTAAATCCTAAAGTTTGTCTTGGCATCAAGAGGAAAATGAAACGGTTTACATCTGAAGAGTAAAACGTAACCCTCTGCAAACATCAAAAATGACATCCAGACCAGCAGAGGGAGGTGATGTTGTCCAACTGTGAGGACTTTTTCGATAAAGACACCCCACAGAAACAGACAACATGAAAAAAAAACACTATTTTACAAATCTGAATCTTCTGCCCTTCATAGTCACCTATAAGACGCCTAAAATGAACTTGTAAATTTTTTGGAGACCAAACAGAACATATATACTGAACATTTAGTTTCCAGGTGACAAACTTTGTTGGAACAAACACTTTGAAGATCTCAGATTCAATGTGCTGTAAAATCCAGACTGAGGGCATTTCTGTTTTTAATCCAATCTGCTCTGCCTTTTGTTATACTCTGAGGTGCAATATAACAACACATCAATGTGATGCTGCATTTATGTTGATTCTGCATTAATTTGTTAGTTAGTTCAAAGTCCAAGTCATATAGATTTTTCATAATAAATCTCTTTATATCCTTAAGTTGTGGTTCATAACTCTCGACTTGATTAAATTAGCATTTTTAAAAGCTAATTACAGTAGATCTACTAATAGCCTCTTTATTTGCTGTGTCCATGGTAACTAAAAGAAGCTGGAGGGTCTGTTCGTGTTAGCATTGTGGCATATTATGTAGTAATTTCCATTGTATTTACTGGTGCTTCCACAGACCACAGAAAAATTTGCTGCTCATTAAGGATGTGTTGTGTGGGAACATGAGGTATCATGAGTAAATGATTCACACGCTAAGACAGAAGAATCAGCCTTTAAAGCTCTTTATGTGGAAATGTTCATAAGCCTGTCTTTGTCCCTGTGTATTTCTTACCCGCTCACGTGCTCTGCCTGTTTCTTCTTCCCTGTTTGTTCAGCTCTGCCCGTCACAGATTTCGTCTCTCCATCTTTCTTTTACTTGTTCTGTCACCTCTGAGCTCTAAAATAGTACTGATGATGACACCACCTCGCCTGAACAGTTGAAGTGGCAGTGATTCACAGTCATCAACACCTGCTTACTCCACCGGCACTGCTTCCACTGTCATGACCCCGCCCATTCCCTTTTTCCTCTATTCCCCCCTCACTTTTCTTTTCTTACTTTTTTCTTTAACTTTCACCCACATTTTGTTATTTTGCAGCCACCTTTTTATCACACCGACACTTTTGTCCACGCTTTCCCTCCACTGCTTACTTCCCTCCAGCTCTGTTGTGCCGCCGTGAGGTATGACTTCACCCCATTTTGTTGTTGTATCTCCCTCCCGCCCTCTCTCTCTCTCTCTCTCTCTCTCTCTCTCTCTCTCTCTCTCTCTCTCTCTCTCTCTCTCTCTCTCTCTCTCTCTCTCTCTCTCTCTCTCTCTCTCTCTCTCTCTCTCTCTCTCTCTCTCTCTCTCTCTCTCTCTCTCTCTCTCTCTCTCTCTCTCTCTCTCTCTCTCTCTCTCTCTCTCTCTCTCTCTCTCTCTCTCTCTCTCTCTCTCTCTCTCTCTCTCTCTCTCTCTCTCTCTCTCTCTCTCTCTCTCTCTCTCTCTCTCTCTCTCTCTCTCTCTCTCTCTCTCTCTCTCTCTCTCTCTCTCTCTCTCTCTCTCTCTCTCCCTGCACCTGGCTGAGCAGATGAGACAGTGTTAAACAGTGTCATGTGCCATCTCTTAAAATGTGGGAGTAGCGTGTAGTGCGACAGCTAAACTGAGAGGGCCCTGGGCTTTGAACGCTGACAGCCCTGTGGCTGGCTGTCTCTGCCATACAGTGGCGGTCGTTCAAAAGTCACCATCTTGATTGGCAAATCAAAGGCGTGTACTGCCAAGTGCTGTGCTGCAGATACATTTCATACAGAAGTTCTTGCCTCTATTGAGTGGAAAAACCCCACCAGGCAGGGGTAATTATTTTTCTTAAGTCTTAAGTTTGATGTCTGGTAGCTGCTTGTTTCCCCAAATCATCTAAAAAACACATGTTTGGGGTATTCACATCCTTAGACAGGCTGATTGCAGTGTTTTGATTTGGATAGATTAGCCCCCTAGGCACCGCGATGCATTTAAGAACTATTTGTCTTAATTTACATACAAATGGAGTTTATCTTAGCTTAATGTCACTAACTCTGAAGTCAGTTGACAAGTCATGTGAGTTCACAACGTGGGGGGAGGATTCATTTCTCAAAATTCTGAAAGTTTCATTTAATCATTTTTGTCTGATTTCAGTCCTCTGTTTGTTTTAACAGGTTACTTTAAACTGGGGCAGCTGCCATTAACAGGTAGGGGAGACCAGGGATGGTTGTAACACTTTTTAATTCAGCACCTCGTAAGTTACTGATTTTTAAACTAGAGTTTTTACATTTTTATACAAAATTCCCAGATTTGTTTACTACAATATCGTAATGTCCAATATCGTAAACCTTATGAGTTGATGTAAAAAGCAGAGCGTTCCACCAGAAAGGGTTAAAAACTCAGAAAGCCGCTGCTCTCTCTGTGAGAGATCATAACCTAAATCTACTTTTAAAGCTAGCTGCTTGAGCATTGTGGTTGGAAGATAGAGAAAAAAAATAAATAAATCAGAATATTTTTCCCAAGGAACTATAATTTAATCCAATACTAGTCATATGATTTTATTGGCAGTAGTATAAGTACAAAATGAAATAGTCTTGATCAAAAATTAACTTAAAATATCTCAGTCAGTTTTTTTTAACACTGCAGAAACAAGATGCATCTGTTGACAGCCTAAAAACTCACCATGTGAAGTTGGGCTAGGAGTGAGTAAACACTGAAATAATCATGGTGGGAATGGCAGCGGTACAACTTTCTCAATGCTACAGTCATCTCCTGTCTCCTCTGCTGATGATAACCTTTAAAAGGTGTTGAGGAGATTTTTAGATTTCATAAAAAAGATGTTTTATGAAATCTTGATTTTTGCAGTAGATTTTTTATAATACAATGTAGATTACTCTGTAGTTTACACTTTAAACCAGCAACAGATAACAATGGCATACTACTGCTTAATTTAGCGAGACGAAATATAGTATTTGATTTCTTTTTTTTTTTTTCAAAACTGTGGCCCCATATCTTTGTAAATATAACAGCATTCGTTTTTGATCACAGACACTAATCAAGCATATTTAAATCTTTGTGTCAAGGTGTGTGAAACTGCCTGAGGGCTCACAGCTGATCAGCACTTTGTCAACACAGCCAAAGAAGTGAAGGTCACAAACCAGCTGCCTATCACCTCTAGAATATATCCGGCAAAGACAGAGGAGCATTTAAGATGTCAGTGTGCTTAGCAGTAGAACAGTTTATACATGAACAAAATGATATTTGAAATATTATTGAGTTGTTGGAAACCTTTTACAGATTGGAATTGATTTCTTCTTGGATGCAATGGAAGTTTAAGTATTGCATATTTTCGGCTGATAAAAGAGAACAGCTGTTAAAACATGGAGAGTCTACATGAGAACAGCCAATACTATGTCTTCACAATAACTGCTTATGCAAATTTAAATCTTTTAATGTACTAAAAGTGCATTTTTCTGTTTGATACTCTCAATCAGACAGTGAGCAAGCAAGGAAACCCCTGACTGCTCTTCACTGCAGTTTATGTGAATACATAGGGCCTTGCTCTGAAGAGGTTTTTTTGTTAACACACTTGCACAACCATTTAAAACGTCATTGTCCATACAAAGACTGAAATTTTTAAAGCTGCGTACATTCAACCTTTAATGTGAGCAGAAGCAAAGCTCGCAGTGGGAATGCCACTACATAGTTTAACTAGAAAAGCACTCAGAGAGCGCAGACCTCCGCCAAGCAGCTCATGTCCCCCCTTATATTGTGATTCACACCAAAACTTTTACTGTTACGTGTCTTTTATTAACGTTTATTTTGTTTAAACTGTATGTTCACTGTTCATAATGTTCCTAAAACAAGAAATGCCCTGACCAGGATTCACACCCAGGACCTTCTAGTTGTGAGGCGACAGTGCTAACCACTACACCACTGTGCCGCCTATCTACACCACTGTGCCGCCCATTGGTTATCTTTCAGCATTGAAAATTCCAACGACACCCTTATTTTTGTGTGTTCTGGATCACAGTATCCAGAATTTTGTCCGGATCACCACCAAAATTTAATGGGATCCTCCTGGGGCTGAGACGCACCTCTGGTGAAAATTTCAGGTCAATCCGTCTGTTACTTTCTCCGTAAAGTTGCTAACAGACAAACAAACTCACAAACAAACAAACAAACAAACAAACGCTACCAAAAACATAACCTCCTTGGCGGAGGTAATAATGGAATAATATCAAATATTGAAAATCCAGACCAGCTGACTGAAGCTGAAGAGGTTGTTTCATCCGTGGTTGACACTGACTTTGAGTTTGGGGGACCTGATGATGACACACAGGACTTGGAAATTCAGCTCGAACACAACCTTGCAGCAGTGTTTTGAAAAATGCCAACAATTCTGCATATATATAAGAAAGTGGTGCACAAGAAGTTTTTCAGGAGATGATCCAAATCCAAATACTCTCTGAGCCATTACTCAAATGTTCTGTTCAAAATGTTATCAGGTCGTGTTGTGGTGATGTGGATGAGTGAGTGAAATTGTGAAATCATTTTCACAAAATAATGTTCTACAGAAATAAAGGTCTCTCTCTCTATCTCTATTATACAACTCCACTAGTCATGGCAGTTGAATTTCTCCTTGACAGAGATGGCCACTCTTTTGTTTATGTACCAACACTGTGGCGGGCTTTATTGAGCGATAAGAACATTCTGGAGAAGGTGCTGCACACAGATATGATCCCTTCAGAAGGTTATAACTCTTTCAGAGATGGCTCTCGTTTTAAAGAAGATGACCTTTTAAATGGGGAAGAGTTTAGGATTGCTCTTGGCTTGTATATAGACAATTTTGAAGTGGCTAATCCACTGGTTACATCAAAGAAGAAGCACAAATTGTGCGCTGTGTATTGGGTGCTTGCTAATCTTGACCCCAAATATCGGTCAGCTCTCCACTCGATCCAGCTTGCACTTTTGTGCAAGGTCAACTCTGTGAACCTTTTTATGAACAGATATATTCAGTCTGCCTGGATTCACTTTGATTATTTGCTTTATTGTATTGATAAATATATCATGTTATACATCACTGGAAAGCTCCTGTTTTCTACTCTCAGGGACCGTAAAAATGATTTGTCTGAACCGATTGATTTTTGAACTGCGCTTATGGTTCAGGAGTTACAGTACATAGACGCTTATAAGAAGTAGGCAAGGCGAATCCTGTCACCGGTAAAACGTAGTTCTTCATTCTTTAATTCAGGATCTCGCAGCTCATAAGGAACATGGGAATTATGTCGAACGACTCACAGAAAGTGCTAAAGAAGCAGTATGTAGCAGCAGATAACTTGGAGGCTCACTCCTTGGCTGGATTTCCAAAGCGTTCTGCAGCCGAATATTTTTGTTTGTTCTGCACTATTAAGTGGGGGTAGATTCAGGTTATGGAGGTTTGCACCAGATGAGTTAATGCAAGTTAATTTGAGGGTAAGATTACTACATGCTTTTTGGTTAGCTGTTTGTTCAGTTAGTAAACTAACAGCCTGGGAGTCAACAGTGATACAAAGGCATAAAAACACGGGTTATATTAAAAAATTCACCTCTTTGTCATTTTAGGGTGAGTAATATCTTTGTACCATATTATAACCTTGATATGTGTGATATTCTCTTCTAGGCTTGAGATGTAACAGCCGTGCTCACCCTCAGTCCCCGAAGCCTGCCTGTTTCTCTCAGACACGACCCGACAACTCTTCCCTCACCTGCTTTGTGAGTTATCATGTCTATAAGTTGTTTTTTTGAGCTGGGATTAGCACTATTTGGTAATTTATGAATCGCTCCCTGACATCAGTAGTTGGTGAGGAACAGCCACACTGCATGAGCAAAGCCTGTAATTTTACAAACATCTGTGAATATTTTTCAAAAATGTCTGTTAACATGAATTTTGAAATCTGTAATGAATTCTGCAGGTTCACTGGAGAATAGTAACCTCTTTTCGAGAGACAGATGTTTGATTCTGAACAGTTGAAAATTGGCCTGAAGGAAATGTTGTTTTCTGCATAATTTTCACATTCTCTTTACATTACAAAAGCACAGAACTTGCTAGAAATACAGACAATATTTCTACTGGATGCTGCAAAACATCATCCACATAATCAGTCTGTGGATGATTCACTCATTTATGAACATGTCTCCATACTGTACAATGATAAAAATATGGTGAGTGATTTGGCCTTGTATGACGTTATGCAAAAAAAATAAATAAAAAATACGGACTGGAATGAAAGGTCAGACATCTGCATGTAATCGTCATCAGATGTTCCCAGGTAATGCTAATCCGGCAAATCAGGCTGAGTGTTATTTTTGACCTACGAACACCGATTCTGTAACTGTAGTGAAACTCTTTTCAACAACTGCATTAAAAAATAAAAGAAATGATTTGTGTCTTTCTGTCCTTGGCTTAAGTTGAAACAGCCCATTATATTTTTGTCATGGCTTGTTGTCTGGTTTTGTGCAGGATTCTGACAGTGATGTAGCCTGGGCACAAGTATCTGTTGGGGTGCTGACCCCAACCATGAAGATGCTCCACAACCTTCTTGGAGTCTCTATTTGGACCCAGCAATGACAGCCATCATCACTGAGGGAGGTACTGTAATGGAAAACCAACCTCAGGCACTTTGCCCCTTGTTTGGACTGTCGTGTGAACTACATTTGGACTATCCTAAAGCCATGAAAAACACATTTGGATTCATTCAGAGTGATGCTTGGCTTGGGCCAGAACAACATCCCCCCAAAACTGCAATCACTCAAAAATCTCCTGCTGAGTTAAAATGCATTTCATTGTGCAGAAGTGGTGATGTTTGGCTCACTGATCCTTGGCAAAGGTTTAAAGTGGCTGGTTAAGTACATTTAAACTAAATTTAAAGTTACACCGACTGTTCTTGAAGACTCACTGTTGCTGTTTCAGGATTACATTCAGAGTTATAGATTAGGTCTGGGGGCTTCTTTTTTAGTTTCATGCCCAGTCCTTACACTGACTGCCAAGTTGGGCTGCAATGTTATTCAACCAACACTGAATTGCTTTCCATTAAACAAAAATGGGCTGTAGAGTTAATGTTAAAAATGTTGCTGTACCAAGCACAATATTGTGTTTTAAAGGGTAATGCCAAAAAAGACATTAATACAGTTTCACTTTAAAATATGAGGTTTCCAGCGCATATTTATGCAGCTAGCTTTTTAGTATTTATTGTCTGGTTTCACAAAGTGAATCTGATTGCTGATCCTAGAAGAAACAACTGAGAAATCCTTAATTACAGTAACTATTTTGAGAATAATCTGAACTCAAATAGATGAGCTATTTGAAATACAAACAGAGTTTATAACACTCTCAATTATTTAGTTGTTTGAGATTGCAATTCTTCATAGTCTGTACTAAATCCTCAGCACTTCTTACTTCCTTTCTTAAGTACTCTACCAAAGTATCTTTATAGGCTCTTCACTTAAAAGGCTACACAAAAATATCTATTGTACTCAACTAGAACCATAAAGTTAAAGTTAATTGTTTCTTTTTTCAAGGCAATCAGTTTTCATGATTTTTCTAAGTAAGGGTAACTAATTGGATTTTACAGTGTGTTGATCCCTTTTTTTCTGTTTGGTCACTACATAACATTTAGTTCTAGTAGTCTCTTATTTCAAAATAGCAAATCAGTGCTATGAAGACCAGGTCATTGCTGTGGATGTAAATCTAACCACTGTCTTTGGTAGACCAACTGTATTTCTAACAATAGGCAGGTGGGAGTCTGGCTTATTTGCCGTCAGTTTGATTCCACCAGGCAAAAAAAAACAGGAAAAGGCAACAGAGGTTCAAGGCACAACACATTCTCAGTTTGAGCTGCATTCACTATCAATGCTGACAAATATAAACTGATTTTGGAGCATCATATGCTGCCATCAGGACAAGCTGTTTTCAGAGAACACCTTTGGTATTTCAGCAAGACAGCGCCAAACCACAAAGTACAAAAGCATGGCTCCATGGTAGAGGAGCCTGGTCGCTAAACTGGCCTTCCTGCAGTCCCCACTTGTCCCCCCACTGAAAACATTTGGTGCCTCATGTGACTAGAGATACAACAAAGTAGCCAAGCGAAAACCTTATATCAGGCAAAAATGGTGCCTCTCATTTCAAAACTCCAGAAAGTGGTCCTAGTTCCCAAACGTTTGCAGAGTGCTGTTAGAAGACGAGGTGATGCAACAGAATACTAAGCGCGTCCCTGTTCGAGCCTTTTTGAAACATGCTGCTGGCATCACATTCAGAATGAGCACTTCTTTTCCATAAAATAATACAATTAATCAGCCTTAACAAGTAATTTTTCAATCAAATAAAGGGTTAAAATAATTAGCAAATCATAGCAATCATTTTTTATTCACATTTTTATGCATGTGGGGGACAGGGTTGAAAAAAAAAAAAAACACCACTTCTTCTTTCCAGAGTTTAATCTATAAGACTCAATGGTCACACATGAGTGGAAGTGACACCATTTCATCGATGGCACACTGCACCATTTCTCAGTAGTGGGTTAGAACTCTGCCCTAATTTTCTCCTCTGTGGGTGACTCAAGGTTTGCCAACATTGCTGAAATGATGCAGAACAACTGGAGGTCATGACCTTGGCAAAGGACTGCAATGCTCTTGAAGAAGATGTGGATTTGTGTGTGTGCATGTGTGTATGTGTGTGTGTGGCTGTGTGTATCTTTGTGTACACATGCAAAGCATCCTCACAGACTGGCCTGACTTTCACTTGATATGCAGTGCAATTCATAGCTTGCTACTATTAATACCCATTCACTCTCCATTCTGCAATTTATCTATTTACTGCAGGGTGGTGGTGGTGGTGGTAGTGGTGGTAGAGGGGCCTGAGAGTACGATTATGATTTGAGCAATGCTTTCAGGATAAAGGAAAGGCAGAGGGGGAGAAATAGAGGCACTGAAAAAAAAAAAAACAGAGAGAGAGAGAGAGAGCAATAAGGTAAAGGATGGGGAGATGAGCGCACAGACAGTGAGGGGATTTAGTGCAAGGAAAAGGGAGGGGTGGGGTGGGGGATCGAAATCCTCGTGGGATGCACAAAGAGAGGAAACACTTAAGATGACTCAATTCATCACAATCACTGCTACAAAAGTGAGGAAGGGAGGGAAAAATGAAGGAGGGGAGATGCAAAACGAAGCAAGAGTATGCACTGCAATAGATTAGCACGACTGGAGTAAGTGTATAAAAAAGGCTGAGCGAAAAATTGAGCTGGAAGTGTTGTCCGCTTTTTTAAGTGTGCATATTAAGTCACAGGAACCATTTTACGCAAACCTGTTTTCGTGGTGCAAGACATAAAGCTAATGCACGTATTTATCCTTTTGTTCTGTGCTTATTAAAGCCCCATTTTCTGAACTATTGCAGCAGTTACTCTGCTGTTGTTTTGGCTTGATGCATTAGCATTTCTACTGGCTTGAAATTAAAATAAAATTACTGGCTTCGGTTGATTTTTTGAATCAGCTCTCAAAACACAAAACCTTTTCTCTTTCTCTTTTATGAACAATAATGAATCATAGTTTAATATTTCTTAAATATTTAATTATAAAAAAGTTAAACCTGAGTTAATGTTCAACAATTAATGCTTTTCTTTTAAGATTAGTCAAGCTACTCTAAGAAAGCATGAATAATAGAAAATACGAGATACAAAACAGTTCTCCACATCTAACAAAAAATACCAAGACCCTCAAAATAAAGCGAGCAGTTAACAGAACCCCAGGTGTTCAACCTTCTAAAGTGCTCTTGGTCTCCTTTTATTGGGTAAGAGGCAAGTTAATTTTATGTCCCTGAGAACACTCAGAAGACGCTTTACAATCATTTTGTAGCCTTGAGGTGTGTTTTTGGAAACAATTTCCAGACTAAGCTGCTTTATAATAATTTTCATGTGCACAGAAACTGAGGAAGTTTTATTTTACTCTTGGTTATATGTCTGGTATTGGACCAAGTAAGCATTTTATACTGTAATGTAGTTGGACTTTATTGTTGTAGTAAGGTGCTATATTTTATCATATGCAAATATGAAGTTGTGCACATACTTCATTACAGAGAAGTAGCTCTGTTGAGCCGCTCTCTTGTTTGCCTCAGGGATAGTTTTGTGAAAATATAAAGGGTTCAAACTGATCTTCAAATATATATGAAAATATGAATATACTTAGGGTAGATGTGTACACACCACTTTTCTACTTGTATTATACTTTTCTCTATGTTATTTTTATTTTTTGTATTTCTAATATATTCTCTGTCTTTTTGCACTGTGGGCTGGAGAGAAATGTCTCTTTGATTTCTGATATGTATATGGCAGAAATTGACAATAAAAGCATGAATCTTCAATTAACAGTGTGTTTTATTAAAAATAAATAACTTTACAGTCAGTTTTCTCTAAACTGGAGGAGATTAGCATTAAGATTTTATGTATTAAAATTAGGAACAAAAACAGAATAGCATTAAATTTCTACAATAATTAGGGGTGAGTAAAAGCATTTATCGGAGAAACTTATTTGAAAAGTGTTTATTTGTGTTAGCTTTCAGTTTTATGAATTGTAAAACGGCAACTGGAAGCAAAAGAGCAGCTACTTCAAGCAATCAGCATGTCCAACGACAGCAAGGGGGGGAAGCCTGAGTTGAAAAAATACAAGGCTGAATTTACATAATAACCCAAGTACGAGCTTACTGTTGTTATGTAAATGCACTTGGTCGTAATTCAATGATGAAGATGGGTTAGTAGTTTATAACACAAGGTAAATTGTTAATTCCATGAAATGGGATGGCTTCTTTGTAGAACCATCTGTTTTGCCGAGAAGAGTTTGCAGGTGGTACAGCAGGTTACTTAAAGCTCTTGAATTTCAACTTTCAACCCCTATGGACTAATCCGTCTCGCTTCTCTCGTCTAACGTGCTTAAAATGTGTGCTCTGAAAAAACATAGTGACAGTGGAGTATATAATTCATTGTGACTGTTTAATGCAGAAATTGTAAAAACAGGGCTTTTATCTACCCCTTAGCACCAATTTCACACAGAAATAATCACAACATAAAAATCATCAATCATGCTCCTGGTGGTCTTGCTTGCTTTTGAATATGATAAAAACGACTCTATGAATTTCAGCGTTTTTCATGTATGCCAAAAAACTCCTCACGGGAGCTTTAAGATAAATTTGACAGTTTAAAGTTACCCACTGGCTGTGACCAATTCACCCAATGTCATCATCCTTCACTCGACTTAAAAAGTGTCTTTTCATTCAGACTAGCACTAGACAAGATCAGTGTTTTGAACGGTATGATGGCATTTTCTTAAAGCTGCTTTAAGGAGTTTTGGTGACACTTTATTTGACGCCTTTCTGTAACACATTATGAATATGTGTAAAAAGTGGTTATAATCATGTTATAGCACTGTATAACTACAGTTATAAACACTCATAAATGATCATAATGCTTTATAGCAATAATCAAAACACATTATAAAGCATTTTATCATGACTTACAAGGTCAAGTATTATAATGTGTTATAACTGTCAACAACATTTGCATTGCTTATTTATGTGGGCATTGTCAGAGAGTTGTTAACAGTTATAACACATTATAATACCTGACCTTGTAAGTCATGATAAAATGCTTTATAATGTGTTATGATTATTGCTATAAAGCTTTATAATAATTTATGAGTGTTTATAACTATAGTTATACAGTGCTATATAATATATTTGTAATGCGTTATAGGGATAGGCGTCAAATAAAGTGTTACCAGAGATTGTTCAATTTATGAAATTGACTGAAATTCATATCGATGCTTTTTTTTTATAATACAAAAGTAAGCAACACCATCAGTAACAAGACTGACATTCTTCATAAAGCAATTTCTAATGCATGTAGCAGAGTGAGGGGGTAGGTGTCAGTGGAGCCAGTGTAGAAGAAGCACTGTTTCTACATTTACAACATGAATTTTCAGAATGATGTAAAGGTAAGAAGGTTAATAATTTCTCTTTAAGTGTATAGAGGACAAGATAAGCAACGACTGCTTTCTCCACAGGGGGCACCTAAAGGAGCTTTAACGGCATTATAATGGCCCAATGAGGGAGAAAAGCTGTTAAAAGCCATGCCACTAGCCTGGTTCGCATCACTTTGTATCCCAGCATGCTTTGTGCAGTGAAGTAAGTGCTTGCAATCCGAAAATGAACGGGGCAAAATCTAAGTCTATGAGATTGTGTGCAGTGGGTGATAGAGGCAGCAG